AGGTTTCTGAGTATTTTTATCAGGAGGTTACATTTTGTCGCGTGTTTCTGAGTCTGTTGAGGTTTTTTTAACCTGTAAATATGGTGAATGACATTGATTGATTTTGTTAAGACAGCTTTGCATTCCTGACATAAATCCCTTCTGGTCGTGGTTTGTATCTTCTTTGTATATTGCCAGGTATGCAGACCTTCTTGTGGACATGTTTGCATTGCACTTTGGTAAGTAACTGGGAGTGGAACTGCTGCTTTACAGGAAAGAAAAGTTTAATTCCGTGAGCGACTGCCAAACCGTTTTCCGAAAGTGGGCTGAGCCTACTTGCCCTCCTGCTGGTGACGTGAGAGGGTACCAGCCCCCTGCACCCTTGTCACACGACCAGTGATGTGTGAGGGTACCGGCCCCCTGCACCCTTGTCATGCGGCAGTATTGTCTTACATCGTAGCCTTCCTGGCGGATGCAGAGGCCAGGCTACCATGTGTCAGGATGGAGGATGGCTCAGTTTCAGGATTTGCACACAAGTCGGTGCAGGCCGTGAGGAGAGAGGCCTGGGCTACGGTGCACCCTTAGAGCAGACGTCACCGAGTGGTGACGAGTGGGCGTCTCTCCCGCACCCAGTGACTCTCCCAGGTGGGCCCATGTTACAGGTGTCTGTTCAGTCCCATCTTATAGATGAGAAAGGCAAGGCCGGGAGGGAGGGCTGCCGGCGCTCCGGGCACAGCTGCTGACCGAGTGGCTGGGAAGGTTTCTGGAGAAGCAGGGCCCATTGCTAAGCTGAGACTCTCCATTTCCTGGGACCTGGCTGGTCCTGCCACTTGTTCTCCGGGACAGCGTTTCACTGCAAGCCACAAGCCCTGCCCCCACAGCCACATTCCTCCCCCCTGCGGCCCCTGTGCTCTGCATGCTCCCCACCTGCATGGCGCGTCCTGGCGGGTGTTGGTCAGAGAGGTGTGGACTTGGCCTTGGCTCTCTCTTGGAAGTGGGGACTCCGCACCTGAGGGTTTGGTCGCTCATTCATCATGAGCTCTTGAGCCCTGGATTTGGGCAGCTCTGTACTGGGTCTTGGGGGCTGAGACCTGTGTCTTTGAGAGGAGGCTCCGTCAGTCGGGGGCCCATCGGCGTAACAGCCCACATCTCAGACACGAGGCTTGTGGTTCGTCGCTTGCTTATGACACGGTGCTTTGCAGGGGTGCCAGGTCCCAGCTCTCCGGGCTCTCTGCTGGACAGAGCCTCAGGGGCCCAGGCTCCTCCCCCTTGAGCCTCCGCCCCTCCCCCCATCTCAGAGTTCCCCTCTCCCCGCCCCCCACACCCAAGGATGGAGACACGGAGCACCACAGGCAGGTGGTGGCTGTCAGCCAGGCCCAGAGGGACGTGGGTCCATCTGATCACGTTCCACGGGCCAGAACCCTGGCTACCCTGCGCTGTGACCCTGGGATGGGGAGGAGAAGCAGATGCTGGTGAGCCCGGTGGGCAGGGGGCAGGGGGGCACTACCATCTGAACAGGACACATCAGGACAAGCCGTGTGGCCTGGACGTGTGTCCTGCGTGAGACCCGCCACTAACTGAGCACCTACGGCCACTGTACCCAGTGTCCGTTGCACAGGCTGGAAACTGACCCACAGCAGGTCAGTAACGTGCCTTGGGATGCACAGCTGGGAAGGGTGGGAGGGAGAGACTAGCCCATCCGGCTGGGGGACTCTTCTCAGCTCTGGAGAGAGTGTGACTCGGGGGGGGGGGTCTCCCTGGTGAGCAGAGGCCCAGGGCGTTCTCCCAAGTACGTGTGTGTCAGGGAGCCCAGGCTCCGGGTCTGGCTTTGGGAGAAAGCCCACCGGCCCGCGTTCCCGGCTCCCGGATGCTGGGAGGGGCCCTCCTGCCAGGCTGCAGCACCAGGGGACCCAGCCCTGCTGGCGGCCAAGTCTGTGGCCCATGTGGACCTTCCCTGCTCACATTTTCTCCTGCCAGAGAAGTTCCTCATTTCCTGGTGGGGCAGCATTTTCAAAAAGAGGGAGCGACTCCTGGGGCCCATGGAGGGTGGGTGTGTCCAGGAGGGCCCCCAGCACAGGGGTGCATGGGGAGGGGGCTGGCAGGGGCTTATGTGTGCACCCTGCAGTGCCAGGCAAGTCCCCGAGGGCACTCGGAGAATAGGGGGCAGAGGTAAATGTGGGTTCGTGCAGAGCCAAGGACCCTTCCCCTGTTCTCTATGTGCCATCTGTGTCCCCGTGTTCCCATGAAAACTTGGGTCGTGTGTGGTGGTCTCCTGTCTGTGTGCTGCCAAGAGCCCTTGGGCTGGAGGTGGGTCTGTGGCTCTCTGACCCCAACTCCCGGCCCCCAGGGAGGCACACACCAGTGGCCTCTCCCCACCCGAGCTCTCACTGCCCACTCTCCGAGGTCCCTGACAGACATGGCCTGCCTGCTTCATGGCCCCGGTGCATTGGAGGCCAGGGCTCTGGCCGCAACCAGGCCGCGCCCCTGGGTCAGTGCTCAGGGCAGCAGAGGTGGTGGCCTGTCCCGTGGTGTCCCCTGAGCCATCACCCTGGGGCAGTGGAAGGGAGGGCAGTGTAGATATCTGGGTACCTAATGTGGGTGCGGGCTGGGCTGGTGGGAGGGGGCTCATGGCAGGTCAGGAGCCTGACCCCTTCCCATCTGGGGTCCCGACAGCACATGAGAAACAGGAAAGGAACTAAATGTCAGGACTGGCAGATGCTGTGAAGAACCCAGAAGGGCATCATGATGGGGACGCATGGCGGTCCCTCCAGCTGGTGGTTGGCAGGGGGGGGCCTGTGAGGGTGACATTTGCCCTGAGGTGTGGAGAGAACAGGGCGGGCCAGGCGCGGGGACCACAGCGATGCAGGGGGAGGAGCCCAGGGAGGTGGGGAAAAGTCCCCTGCGGGTTCCAAGCAGAAAGCCAGTGACGTTCTGATTTCCGGGGTGGCTGGCAGGCTGTGGGTGGAGCAGGCAGAGGGGCCCCGGGGGAGCGGGTAGGGGAATGGATTGAAGGGACGTGTGGCAGGAGGGCTGGGCCGGCCTGCCTGCTCCTCTGCTCCCAGCTCTTCAGAGGGAGACAGGCTCCCAGAGCCAAGACTCAGGCCTCCGGCTCTCTGGGCCATGCCCCTCGCTGTCCAGGTCTGGAGCTGCCCCCGGGACAGGGAGGAGGCAGGGGGCTGGGGCTCCTGGTGGTCTCCACGCTGGCCAGGAGCCTGCATCTATGCGTGGGGTCACTTCCCTGTCCCCTATTGGCCCAGACCCACCAGAATCATGTCCTGCACCAGCCACCCCCACCCCGTAAGCACCTATGGGAACTGGCCACCCAGTCGCCATAGGAGACAAGGGCTTGGAGGATCCGACCCCTCGAACAGCCTGCCTGTGGGGCTGGGCGCAGGGCCCTAGGGATGACGTGGCTGTTTTTCTCCTGAAACTTCTCTATTCTGGGCGCCGCTTAGAAGCAACCTGCCTCCCTGACCTCTACTTCCTCTGCTAGAGCCTAGAGCAAGTCACACACCCTGCACGCAACGTGGGGACGGGACGGGACAGGGACGCTGCGAGCTTGGCTGTTAGGTTTGGAAAGTAGCAAGGCCTGTGGCCACCAGATTGGTGCTATTTGTCCCTGTGTTCAACCGCCACCTGTGTCCCTCTCGGGTCCTGCTGCAGGCCAGCACTCGTCTCCCCAGACAGGCAGGGAAGGGTGCCAGGGCCCAAGGCGTGGCCCACTGCCCTCGGGAGGCTGGAGTCCAGGCGGGAGTCGGGCACCCCAGGGCCCCGGACACTAGAGGTGCCTGCTACCCCTGCACAGCCCCACACCCACACCCGCCTGCTTGCACATCTGTGCACACACACCAGCTCTCACATGCGTGCACAGCCACAGCTGCCCCCCCATAAGTGCACACACCAGCTCTCACACACTCTGCACACACACACCTGCCTGCTCACACACGTGCACACACACCAGCTCTCACACACTCAGTGCACACCCACACCTGACCACTCACATATGTGTGCACACCCACCAGGTCTCACATGCATGCACACCCACCAGCTCTTACACACTGAGTATACACACCTACACCTGCCTGCTCGCACATGTGCACACATGCCAGCTCTCACACATGTACACACCTACATCTGCACACACATGCGTGCACACATAGCACAGCTCTCACACAGTGCACACCCACACCTGCCTAGGCACACACAGCAGCTCTTGCACGCTCACACGTGCATACCAACACCCGCCCACTCACACACGTGTGCACACACACCAGTTCTCACACATGCACACCCCCTGAAAACACACTCAGCACAGAGCTGCGGGTCTGTGGTCAGGCCTGTGGTGTCTGAGGGGCTCTGGCCCTGCTGGCATCTTGACTTGAACTGGCTGGACCCAGAAGCTTCACTTACAAGTGAAGGTGTTTCAGAGGCTGCCGCCCCTTCCGAGACCCAGCTCTGAGGCCCATCCTTCCAGCGCCTGGCCCCGACGTCCGGTTACTGGGCTGGGGCGTGCACGGCAGGAAGAACAATCCTGGAGGTGCCATCAGAGCCCCATGTGAGCAGGTGCCATGTCCCACCACGCTCTTGCTGTGGCTCTGCATGGAAGATGGCAGACCTACGGAAAAGTGGACCCGCGGCCCCGATCAGGTTGAGCAGTCATCAGCATTCTGCACGTTGCTGCGTCCACACTCACACGCACGTTTCCTGTTGCACTGAGCGAGACGTCGGGGTGTGTGTGAGTGCATGGGCACGTGGCCAAGCCAGTTTCCCTGTCGTGCCCAGCACACTTGGCGCCGATCCAGTGTCATCGTTGGGCTGTCTCCGCAGCCGTGGCTTGTCCGCTCAGGCGTCTGTGGGGCCAGGACTTCGGGGGCAGAACTGCTCACCTGTGGCTGGCGGCAGGGACCCCACATGGGGCACACAGAGCCCTGGGGCTCTCCTGTTGCATGGATGGAGAGACTGAGGCCACAGAGGGGCCTGGCCGAGCTCCATCCCCTGAGGGTTCGGCCTTTGCCTTCCAGATCCTGACTGGGCCTCCTACACCCTGGGGGTGTTCATCTGCCTGAGCTGCTCTGGAATCCACCGGAGCGTTCCCCAGGTCAGCAAGGTGAAGTCGGTTCGCCTGGACGCCTGGGAGGACGCCCAAGTGGAGGTACGGCCCCGAGAGGGGGTGGGGGTTGCGGTGGGTTGGGAGGAGCCCCTGTAGTCCGGCTGCCCCCCAATGGCCTTCGGCCTGGCCCCCTGCGTCACAGACACCCTGAAGGTCCCTTTACCCCCTGGTATTCCAGGCTCCTGACTATGGCTAACACTGCCGTCCAGAGGAGCCGTGGGGTGAGGGTGGTGGGAAGGAGGGATGAGGTGGGATGGGGGAGGGAGGGAGAGGAGTGGGGGCAGAGGGCAGGGTGGTGGTGTGGGGAGCCCAGGGGGATGGCAGGGTTGGAGGATGGGCAAGGAGGGTGTGGGGGATGGAGGGAGAGGGGTGGGTGGGTGGATGGGGCAGGTGGGGGCAGGTGAGGGTGCGGGCAGGGCAGGGGAACAGACTTATGGGGTAAAAAGGGCCTTTGTGTCCTGTGCTGTCTGCCACCCCCCCCCCCCCCCCCCAGTTCGCCGATTTGAGGCACACAGCTCAGCAGTTTTTGGTGTGTCCACAGTCAGGCCACTGTCACCAAAGTCACTCTGAGGACATTTCACGCCCTACAAGCGTGTCCCTCGCCATCTGGTCCAGGCCAAGTGATGCTCATTGGATCTGTGTCTCCACAGACGTGGCTGTCGGCATTTTTGTGAAAGGGCGCAGGCAGCAGATGGCCTTGGCGTCACCTTCTCTCACTGAGTGCCACGTGGCCACGGCTCGCCTGCCTGGTGGCCCCTCTCAGGGCCTCGCCCCTTGCTATGGGAGGACGACATCCACTGTGTGGACTGACCTTGTTCTGTCTGCCCATCCGTCTGCCCATGAGCACCTGAGACACTGTGTTTTGGCAACGAGCCTTGTGCACACAGGGAGTGTGTGGCTGCGGGGACCCCCAGGCACCTGAGTAAGGCCCCCGTCTTGCCCGCTGATGCCGAGTCACCCTCTCGTGGAGAATCTGGATTCATGGAACCAGGTCCCTGGGCAGACACTGTGGCTCTGCCTCTCCCTGCCCCCTGTGACCTCCAGGCCACCACAGGACGGGTGGCAGCCCCTGGGGGCCTCCTCCCTGCACGTGGGAGTGGAAGTCAGGGTCCAGGGTCTTCCACGCATGCTGGCCCGTGGCCCTCGTCTGCCGCGTCCCTGTGGGATCCTCGCTTGGTGTTTTTGTCTCCTGAGTGACGCTCAGCGTCATGCGAAGCAAGCACCCCCCACCCCCCCACCCCGGTGACCTTGGCCCCTTTGCTGTCACCTTGTTAGCTCTTTCGCTTTCTGGTGAGCTTCTATATTTGGGAGGTGGCCCTGTGAGAAGCCTGACTTTGCTCTTGGCCGTTTTGCAGTGGAAACTTTTTTACTTTGGTGGAGTCAAATGTATCAGTCTCCTGTGGTTTTAGGGTTTCTAGGGGCCTAGACGGGCACTCAGCCCCTGGGTGTGACTCACAAGGCGTTACCAAGGTGCAGTTTTCACAGCAGGCGACCGGCCCTAGTGAGGTGCGGATGCCCCCACTGTCACCTCAGGTTTTGGGCTGTGTAACCAGCTCACTACCTGATTTTGGAATATTTTCCTGAAATAAGCCCTGTGCCCCTCGGCAGCCCCTCCCCCTTCCCTCCATGACCACGACCCCAGCCCCCGCTGGAAGTAGGGAGATCTGCACTTTTGTCCTGATGCGTCTTCCCACCCCCATGGCCTGGTGACTTCCTTCTCCCGTGGAGCACTCTGTGTTCAGGGTTCAGCCACGCAGCCGTGGGCATCAGCGCCACGTGCCCCTTTATTGTGGCCTGGTTCCTGCCGCGTGGACAGACCGCGTTTAGCTTACGCCCTCACCATCGGTGACACCAGGGCCATGTGACTTCTCAGCTCCTGTGGGAAGTGCTGCCCTGAGCAGCTGTGGGCAGAAGTCGCCTCCCTCCGGGATCGGCGTGGAATCGCTGTGTCTTACGAGCCCTCTGCTGGGCACCCGGGGCTCTTCTGGGGGTTCTGGAGCAGGTGCATGGGGCCCCTGGCAGTGCACTGTGGGGTGCAATACACCGTACTGCCTGCCTCTGATTCTAGATATCCTTGTGGGCACCAGCAGGTAGGCATCTCGAGGGCTTGTCTGTGCACGAGCTCCAGAGGGATGTCCCTTCATGTCCTTTACCGAGTGTGGGGCGCCGGGGGGCTCAGTCGGCTAAACGTCCAACTTCGGCTCAGGTCATGATCTCGAGGTTCACAGGTTTGATTGAGCCCTACGTCGGGCTCTCTGCTGACAGCTCGGAGCCTGGAGCTGCTTCAGATTCTGTGTCTCCCTCTCTCTCTCTGCCCCTCCCCTGCTCACGCTGTCTTTCTCTCTTTCAAAAATAAATACACATTTAAAAAAGTCCCTTACCAATTTTAAAAATGGATTAATTATCTTTTTATGTTTGAGCTGGGAGTTTTCATATAGAGTCCTTTATGTATTCTGGATACAAGGCCCTTATCAGAAATAGTATTCGTAAATAGTTTTTCTCATTCTGTGGGTTAGACTTTAACTTTCATTTTTAAATAAAAATTTTGAAATGCTAAAAGTACAGTTTATATTCTAAAAGGGGCGCCTGGGTGGCTCACTTGGTTGAGTGTTTCACTTCGGCTCAGGTCATGATCTCATGGTTTGTGAGTTCCAGCCCCGCGTCAGGCTCTGTGCTGAGAGCTCAGGGCCTGGAGCTGCTTCGGATTCTGTGTCTCCCTCTCTCCCTGCCCCTCCCCTGCTCACACTCTGTCTCTCTCAAAAGTAAGTAAACATTAAAAAAAAGAAATTTATATTCTTAAAGAGCTATATGTATATTTTTTATTACTGAGGTGAAAATCACATAATGTAAAACCCACCATTTTATTTTATTTTTTATTTAAGTTTATTTATTTATTTTGAGAGAGAGCATGAGCACAAATGGGAGAGGATCAGAGAGAGAGAGAAGTTTATTTATTTTGAGAGAGAGCATGAGCACAAATGGGAGAGGATCAGAGAGAGAGAGAAGTTTATTTATTTTGAGAGAGAGCATGAGCACAAATGGGAGAGGATCAGAGAGAGAGAGAAGTTTATTTATTTTGAGAGAGAGCATGAGCACAAATGGGAGAGGATCAGAGAGAGAGAGAGAGAGAGAGAAGTTTATTTATTTATTTTGAGAGAGAGCATGAGCACAAATGGGAGAGGAGCAGAGAGAGAGAGAGAGAGAGAATCCCAAGCAGACTCCACAGTGTCAGTGCAGAGTCCGACATGAGGCTTGAACTCACGAACCATGAGATCATAATTTGAGCTGAAATCAAGAGTCTGACACTTGACTGACTAAGCTGTCCCGGTGCCCCATAACCCACCATTTTAAAGCAAACAGTCTGGTGGCATCTGCCACATTCATGTTGTCTCTTTCCAACTATTCCCGTCATATCCCAGGAGACCCGGTGCCCACTGGCCCCGCAGCCACCGGTCTGTGTCCCTCATCTGTGCGTCCGCATGTTCCGGACACTTTGTGCGAAGATGGCCACGCACTGTGGCCTTCATCACCTGGCTCCTGTCATTTAGCGAAATGCTTGCTGGCACCCTCTTGACGGTAGCATTCAGAGCACAGCTTTTAACTTTGAGGCCCACTGCCATCTTTGGTTGTTCGTGTTTCTGGTGTAGCCTCTGGGAAACCATGTCTTCATGGGAGACTTCCTCCCATATTTTTCTAAAATTATTTTTAAAATTATACCATGGTTTTTATTGACTATTTTCCCTGTTTAATTTTGGAAATCACATCATTAATTCAGTTGGAAGTTACTCCACTGAAAGGCCATGTCCACCCGTATGTTTTCTCCTGAGGTTTCCCCGTTTCCTGCCCCACTCGCTGATGCAAGATGGGCTTTGATTCATCCTGTTAAATCTATTTAATATCAGTATTAGATTCTACTGGGTCTATTTCTGGACCTTTTCTTGGTTTCATTGATTAGGCTTTCTGGTCAGCAACATGTTTTAATATCTGGTAGGAAGAGTCTTCTTACAGAATTTTCTAGAATATTTTGCTTGTTAATTGTGCTTTATTTTTTTGATTTTTTTTAAATGTTTATTTTTTGAGAGCAACAGAGAGCACAAGTGGGGGAGGGGCAGAGAGAGAGGGAGACACAGAATCCGAAGAAGCTCCAGTTTCTGAGCTGTCAGCACAGAGCCCGACATGGGGCTAGAGCCCAAGAACCAAGAGATTGTGACCTGAGCTGAGTTGGATGCTTAACCGACTGAGCCACGCAGGTGCCTCTACCCTGCTTGTTAATTTTAAAATGAACTTTTGAATCATTGCTAGCTTTAAAAACTGCTATTCCTCGGTTTGTTTGTTTGTTTTTTTTTTGACAACTTCCAAAACTGCATAGACTCATAGTCGGACACGGCATCTTCCCACCCTCCCAAGCACGCGTCTGTGCGCTTAGTCTCGTGCCATCCTTGGGGGTGGGACGGTTTTGCCCTGTGCAGACAGAGCGTTTCTCGTGAGGCTCGTTCTTCACTAAGATTTCAGATGGCAAAGCAACTGATTTTGGACTTCCGGTTTGGTACCAGCCTTTTGCTCAAGTGTCTTACTGTTGGTGATGTTTTCCTGTTGACCCATTGAGCTGTCCTTGATCATGATCCAACGGTCCCCAAACCCAGTCATGACCCAACAGTCCATACTGTTAGAAGAATGGCTTTCTCTTGGGCGTTCAGGAAGGAGGCAGGATTGGAACAGAAGGAATTTCCTCTGCTCCCCTTGTCCCCAAGGCCACTGTGCGGTCAGACCCCGGCTGGCCCTTTCCCTACTCCCCACACCAGCTCTGGGGTATCATCTGATGCCCTGGTATATCATCTGATACCAGCACACCAAGCCCCCCACCACCACCTCAGGGCCTTTGTACCTGCTGCGCGCACCCCCCGCCCCCCGCCTGTGTTAGTGCCCTGCTTCCTGCTCCTAACTCCTGCTGTCTGTCCACCTTGGGGGAAACACACTTTGCCACCCCGGGCTAGTCTCCATCTCCGGGCCCCCCACCCCGGGCCAATCTCCAGCTCTTGGGCCCTCTCTGTGTCCAGTTCTCGAGGGCTGCCTGCCTGATGTGGGTCAGGTGAGCAGACAGCCGGCCTCACCTGAGGCAGGGACAGGGTGCCTTGGGCAGGGGGCGGGGCACAGTGCTGCGGTCTCTGGGGACCGTGTGCAGGACCCGGCCTCTCTGCCACCTGGAATAAAGTTCCTGTCCCTGTGGCCGCTGTGAACCACTTTCTCTGGGGGTTGGCCGGCCCCCGCCCCAGCCTCTGGGAGCACCGACCCCATCCTTTCTCTGCAGTTCATGGGCTCCCATGGAAACGACGCTGCAAGAGATGTGTATGAGTCCAAAGTGCCTGCCTTCTACTACCGGCCCACGTCGTCCGACTGTCAGTAAGTCACCAAGCGCTTTTGTCCGGACCCAGAAGACGGAAATGGGGGGTGGCCCGAGCCAGTGGCTGGGTGGTGGGGCCCTTGCCGGGGGCCCTTGAGTGCCCCCGGGGGTCTGAGGAGGATGCTGAGAAGCTGCAGCTGTGGGGCCTGCCTCTCTCAGCACCCCCTGGGCCTCCCCCCCAGTGTTGCTAGAGCTGTGTTCCCTCCCTCCCTGGGCATCACCGCCCAGGATGCCTCGGCCTCTCTGCTTCCAGCACGGGACCGGCCCTGGGGTGTCACCCAGATCCCGGACCACCCCCCCCTCCCCCCCGTGCCCAGGGTCCATGGTGGCAGCCACGGCTTGGACAAGCATGGCACTTTTGTGACACGGGCGCTCCCAGGGCCCTGAGGGTAGAGCGAGTTTCTCGGGGCAACGCAGATCCCAGCAGATGAGCTGGAACCAGCACTTGGGGCATGGGCTCTATGCTGGGGACTTCCTGCTCCCAGGCGGGCAGGTGGGGGCCTCTAGGTCACGTGCCAGGGGACAAGCTGCCCTCTCTTGGAATGGAGGGTGAGGACCTGGCCCACCCACCTCTGGGCCGGTGATACACCGCTGGCCGCGGGCTCTCTGGGGATGAGATGCCATGCCAGGGTCCCCCTGTGCAGGACCCCCCCGGTGCAGGCCCCCACCTTCGTGCCACATCCCAGGACCTCACCCCCTCTGGGCTCACAGGGGAAATCTGGACCCTGAGGTCCTGTCTGCCGTCCCAGTATTTCTGAGAGATGATTTTTGCGCCCCAGCCGCAGGCTGCCCTGTGGTCTGGTTATTTGCATGTGTCCCCGAATCTCCCGTCTGAGTGTATGACAAGGGGCAGACTGGCCCACAGGCTGCGTTCTTGCTAGGACATGCTCACAGAGGCCATCCCCGCCCCTGGCGGGGGCTGCGTGGGGACCCATCCCGAACCCGGGCAGACCTTGCCTTCCATAAGCTTCTGCCAGGTGAAGGTTGGTGGGAGCCGAGGCCCCAGCACGTGGCAGGCACTCAGGCCTACCCAGGCCAAGCCCCAGAGGCCCGGGAGGGCCCAGAGGTCTACAGGGGTGGGGAGAGCAGACCAGGGTGGTGTGGCACATGAGCTCACGGTGCAGGGCTGAGGTGTGGCTGAGCCCTTTGTGGGCTGCAGCCTCCCCAGACTTCACACCGTGGAGCCTGCTCCTCGCAGCAGCACGGGATTGTGAGGATGACCCGCCCCCCCTCCCCTCCCGGGAGCAGGGCCCGTGGGGAGTCGGGGGCTGGGTCCTGTTGGTGTCAGGCGGTTACTCAGAAGGGGCGGGCGCCCAGTTCCCTTCCTGTGCGGCCCTGCTGGATGGTCCCCGGCTGCCTGCAGCACCCTGGAGGAATGCGCCCCCCCCACCAGCCCCCAGCCCCCAGCAGGCAGGGCTCCCGGCCTCCTGGGGCTAGGGTGACGAAATAGCAGTGTTTTTTACTTTTGCCACAGAAATTCACTGTTCCCACATCTGGAGGCCAGATGTCGAGGTCGAGTCATGTGTGGGGTCCCCTGGGACCCTTCCTCGGCTCGTAGGTGGCGTCCTGTCTGTGCAGTCTCCCCCTCCACCCTGAGTGCGCCATGACCCCAGGGTGACCTCCTGGCATCCGGTGTCCACAGCCATCCTCCTCCCCAGCAGTGTTGGTTCCGACCCATCGTCTTTTCAGGGGTGGGGGCCGCACTTCACCCCTTGATGGCCTCTGAAGTCAGATGATGTGATGGGAGGCCTGGGTCTGCTGTGGGGGGACAGGGGACACGGGCAGGCGGGGACAGGAGGCTGTGCCCTGGGTGCTCCGTGAGGAGGTGTGTTGTGATCTCCACATGGGAGCCAAGAGGGGGTTGACCCCACCTGGACGAGCTAGCTGCCCCTCCTAGGGGGAGGGGCGGCTGAGGCCTTGAGGGTGGCCCCTTCCCTGGGGGGCAGTACCTGGACCTCGGGCAGAGTGTCTGGGGGTTGGGGCCCAGAGGCCGCGGAGCTGGGGCAGAAATCAGTCCTGCAGGCTGTCAGAGCCAGCTCCCCGACACGGCAGAGCCGCGGGCCAGTGAGCGGGACACAGGCCCATATGCACCGCCACCACGCTCCTGGCAGGGGCTGCAGGGGCCACACGCCTGGTTACCCCCTGCCCTCCTGGCCCCGGGTGGCGGTAGCCCGTCTGGCCCACAACCCAGCCCCATGTTTGCAGTGGGTTGAGGGGCTCGAGGGCCTCGTCTGGCCTCAGCTCCTGAGAACGTGGGGCGGGCCCGGGACTCCTTGGCCGCGAGAGATGGAGTGTGGGCCCTGCCTCCCTGGTTGCCGGGCCTCACATGTAGTAGGAACCCTGTTGCTGCTGCTCCCCTGGGGCAGGAGGCTGGACAGATGCCTCAGGAGGGCCGGGTCCTCCTGGCCGTGGGGTTCCTGGTGCCCCAGCGGCCTGGGAAGCATCTGCCAAGCAGCATGGGGAACCCTTCCTGTGCCTGCTCCTGGGGCGTCATCCTGCTGTGGCCGCCAGGGGCCTCCGTGCCAGCCCGTCCATGCCAGGGCCAGGGCCTGGGACCTCGTGGGTCCCCTGTGGGACAGGGTACAGACGAGGCCACAGAGTGGTTGTCAGCAAAATGGTCCAGCTTCAAAACTGTCCCACTGACACGCGGGGGCCTGGCTCGCACACATGTCTGAACAGCCACACGTGTCCTTCCAGTGTCACAGATGAATGTGGGGGGGACTGGGGTCCTACAGCTAGACTCCGTCCGGGGTTGAATGGTGTCCCTCAGAAGGCAGGGCAGGCCTAAACCCCAACACCTTATTTGGGAACCAGGTCTTTGCCAATGACAGGAAGGCGGGGGAATGAGGCCTTCCTGATGTCGGGTAGCCTGGCTGAGGGGGGGGATGGGAGGGAAGGGGGAGCACTGGGGCAGGGGGGAGGGGTGTTGGGGCAGGGGATAGGGGGCGCTGGGTCACAGGGGAGGCCCAGGACAGACTCCGATTCTGCATGAGGATTCAGCCCAGTGGCTCCTGCACATGGGTCTGGGGCCTCTGAGCACCGGGACAGAGTAAATTGTGGTTTGAAGGTACCCGGGGTGGGGGTGGCCCCACTCACCCACCATACGGGGCCCCCAAAGCCTGGTTTGGCCTCATGGGCTTGGTGCTGGGTGAGGTGTCCTGAGTGCTGCGTACTGATGAGGAAGAAAGAGCCTCTGACCCCAAGGGCCGTGCCCGGGTCCCAGACATGTTGGGTGGACCCTTCTAAGGGAGGTTGAGCCCCAGGGGCCGCGGGGCATGGGGGGTGAGGAGCTGGTGCCTTGTCCAGTGGAGGGGCCGGGAGGACTGTGGGCATCAGGGCAGACCTGGACCAGCCCTGCCTGCCCGCCTCTGTGGTTGCTGCATCCGACCCACTGCCTTGCAGCTGGGGTCATGGTCAAGCGCAGGCCACCGGGCCATCTGGCAGGACTCACCAGGGGTGCGAGCCAGTGCTCTGGGCAGATGCTCCTCTGCTGCCTCTGGGCCAGCCCTCCCGGCAGGCGGTGGGTGGGGGTGCACCTTGAGGGCTGGTGGGCAGGAAGAAATGACGCGCCAGCAGGTGCCACAGTGGGGCTGAACCAGACAGCCTCACACCCAGCCCTGCTCTGTGTGGGCCAAGGGTCCACATGGGCTGATCCACGTGGGAGTGGACTGTGTTGGGGGCTGGGACGGAGGCGCTGACGGGCACGGGCTCCTCTTTGGGCTGATGGTGGTACAACCTTGGGAAGGTGTCATGAGCCTCCGAATCAACATTTTTAGTGGCTGCATTTAATGCCGTGTGAATTAGAACTGGATCTTTTTTAGGTTTATTTTTTTGTAACCTCTGCCCCCAGTGTGGGGCCTTGAACTCACAACCCCAAGATTGAGAGTCGCATGCTCCTCTGGTGGAGCCAGCCAGGTGCCCCGAGAGCTATTTTTCTTTTTTATAAGAGGAGGGATTAGTGGTAAAATTGATCAGCAAATGATTTTAAAAGTCCAAGCTGGCGGCCCTTCAGCCCTGGCGTCCACAGGTGGTGGACATGCACTCTTCCAGGGGCCACGTGTCCACGGGGTACCAGGAGCCCCACGTCGCATGCAGCACGAGGCTCACTCTGTCCTCCCTCCTCAGGCTTCTGCGGGAGCAGTGGATCCGGGCCAAGTACGAACGGCTGGAATTTACCAACCCGGAGAAGCAGGAGCCATACTCCGCAGGTAAGACGGGGGGTGGGGAGGTGCCTGCTCGCTGCGTCCCCAGCTCTCCACATCCCCGTCTGTCTCAGTGTTCCCCCCCCCCCCCCCCGCTCCTGGAACTGCAAGCCTGCTTGTTCTGGGCCCGTGTCCCATCCTTCTGATACTGAGCAGGGTGGCATGGGGCGCAGACCCCGCGGCCGTCCACAGCCCGGCTCTGACGGGGCCAGCGCCTTGGAGCTGCACTGGGCGCCCAAAGGGTGAGCGGGTGCTGGCGGGAGGGGACTGAGGGCCTCGGCCTGGGTGGGGCTGGGTCTGGAAGGCGGAGCAGGGGTGATGAGCGGTCCTCTTGGGTTCCGAAGTGAGGGGTGCGGGATCCAGACCCATGTACTGCAGGAGCATGTGGGTCTGCCCCGGGCACTCAGGTCCATGTGGGCCAGGTCTCCCCCTCTGCCTCCCACCATGACCATGGCCACAGGGCCAGCTGGGAGTCCTCTGTGCCCGTTAGAACCCCTTCCTTCAAGCTCCTGACACCACTGTTCCTCTTGGGAAGCATCCCCAGCACCTCGAACGTGTGTGAGACTGGCCAGGGGCAGAGGGGTCTGCAGGAGGGACATGCCAGCGGCCCTGAGCCTGTGGCCTTGCAAGGCCACAGCCGTGCAGATGGCCACCTCTCCACCAGACCCCATGGGGCCGGCAGTGGGAGTCCGATGCCAGGGCTCACACAGCCCCTACCCTGGGGCCCTCACCAGACCCCACAGTCTCTGGATCTCACCTGCTCTCCACAGAAGCCTCCCCAGTGCCCCACATATGCCCTCCTGGGGGGTGGACAGCACACAGGGGCATCCAGGGCACCTCCGATTCCCTGGCTGGCCTGCTGCCCCAGACCCTAAGCCCAAGTAGCACTCTGCACCTCCGAGCCCCTGCCCAGCGTCCAGGGAGTGCATCAGGTACACTGCTGAGGTGTCCCCCGGCCCTGGGGTTCCTCTTTGGCTGTTCCTCCCCCAGTCCTGTGAGGAGCACCAGGGGATTCCCAGGAGCACTTCCTGCCACAGGAGCACTTTCTTGGGCCCAGGGGAGGACATGCCCACTGGCCACCCAAATGCAGAAGTCCACTCAGCCCCTCCGAGGAGGAGGAAGGGAGACACAGGGCTTGGGAGAGGTGAGGCCCAGGCACAGCAGAGGCAGGGGCAACCCTGCAGCTTGGAGGGGCTGTGGCGGGAGCCTGCACACCCAGCTGGTGCCTGCCACCTGTGGCTGCTGGAAGGAAGGGCTCAGCACAGGTGTCTGAGGGGGTGTGGCCACCACATGTGGACATGAGGGCGGCACGATGAGCCACTGGGGAAGGGGTGCTTGTGGACCAGGGAGGGAGGGCTCGGTGCCAGGCGAAGTCCATGGCAGGGCTGAAGCCCGTGGAGGCTGGAGGACAGCCAGGAGATGCATATCTTACAGCGTCGTCTTCTGGATGCGGATTAGGACAGAGGGAAAGGGTGTGGCTGGCAGAGAAGCAGGTGGATCCCCCTCCCTGGCAGTGACCAGGGTGCATGGGGCCCCAGCCCACAGGCTGCGTGGCTTCTGTGGCATTCTTGCCCAAACTGCAAAGCCTCAGCTCAACCTCAAGGAGACCCCAGACAGACCCGCGTGAGGGGCCCTGACAGGAATAGCTGAGCGGGACTCTTCAAGGCATCAAGGTCGTGGACTGTAAGGCAAGGCCGAGAAGCTGTTGCCACCCGTGGGCCCAGACGGCATCATGGGCTGTGGGAACGTGGCAGGGCCGCCATGAAAGGGGCAGTTGGCGGCGTTGTCTGAGGTGACTCCCTGGCTCTAAGGACTCCATTGTGGTCATCTGGGCATGGAGCTGGCTGCCGGCTCCCACCCCACGCAGGCCAGGCATGACCTGGTGTCTGGGGGTGAGGGGTGAGGACAGGCCACACTGCCCGGGGCTCCAGATGGACCCTGGATGGACAGGCACCAGCCTGGCGCTCCCTGCTTTCAGCCAAGGTTGCAGGTGTGTGGAGATGAGCGTGCCTTCACCTGCCCCACCCCAGCTCACAGGGGTGATGGCTGCATCCCCACGCTGTGCCCCGCCCTGAGCCCCTCCCTGAGCTAGGGCCTCAATGGTTGCCTTTCACAGGGCAGACAATGCCCCCTGTTGTCCAGAGGGCCCGGCCGCCCGGCCGCCCCCAGTCACCGACAGACACAGCACTTCCTGCCGAGGCTTTGGACCCCGTTCCTGGAAGGGGGGTTTGCCCCATCTCCCTGTGTCCTCTCCTCTGTGCAAAGAGAGCCGGTCCTGAGCTTGCAACCTTCCCCTGCCTTTGTCCTCACTGTCCCAGGGTGAGCTGGGGGCTCCCTGAGTGACAGAGCCCATCCCCCCATGCCTCTGTTTTTCCATCTGTGCAGTGGGGAGGACACAGTGCTCAGCGTGTGGAAGCATTAAACGGCGTGGCATGTGGGGCACCCAGTGGGCCTGAGGCATCCCTGGTGTGGTGGCTGGTGGGGGCCCAGTAAAGTGAATGTTTTCACGGGGTGTCCGTGGGGCACAGGTGTGCCTCTCACTCCCGCACCTCTGTGGATTTGAGTGGCCCCCACCAGACTCAGGACTGTTGGCTGCTCCCTGGAAGTATGTTGTGTATGGGGATCAGGGTGTACGGCACGTGGAGGTGCAGGTCCCCCTGGGAGCAGGTGCGGAGCCTGAGGGGCCGCGGTGATCCCAGCTGGCCAGGGCCAGCAGGGAGAGGGGGCAAGAGGCCAGGACTGGGACCCCGTGTCAGCCTCAAACTTACAGAACTTACAGGTCTGGAGCCAGAGCCCAGCCCTTCCAGGGAGGAGGCCGATGTGGGCCTCCCCAGGCCCCAGCTCTGTGCCCAGAGGACACCTTTCCATGGGGCGTCCCCAAGCAGAAGCCACACGGTGTGGGGGCCTGTCTCCCATCCTAGGAGGGCCACCCGGTAAGCCCTGCTATCGTCTCAGGGTGAGGCCATGTGTCCCGGCTCCAGTTAAGAAATCAAGGTGTAAATTGCACATGTGAGATACAGTCCACGGGTGAGCTCCGTGCCTGTGAGGGGACAGTTCTGCGAGCTGTGACAAAGGCAGCCACGGGACAGTCTCAAGTAGCCAGGCCCCTGCAGGCCATCGCCAGCCTCCCCTGGCCCTGCTCTGCCCCGGAGTCATGCCTCTTCCGGTATCATCACGTGGAGCCAGAAACATGGCACCTCCGGAGTCCAGCGTGATGCCCCTGAGGTTGGCCCGTGCTGTGCCTGTCCCTGTCGCTCCTTCCCGTGCAGAGCCGTGCCTCATGTGCGGGTGAGTCTCCAGCTTGTGTCCCAGTCGAAGCCACCGCGAGTGTTGTGCTCAGGCCTTCGTGTGAATACGGTTCTGCGCTCTGTGTTGTGAGAAGCACACGGCAGTTCCCCGTCTGTGTAAACAAGCGGTTTTGCAGATGGACCACGGCGTCCTGTGGCCCCTCCAGCCCAGGCGCCACGGAGCACCTTGTCCCCCACGTCCTGCAGGCGGGGCTTCTGAGAAGAGGCAGCAGTTGGGGCCAGGAGGCGGGCTGGTGGGGCCCCACACACAGTAGGCATGGGCACACAACAGGCATTGGATAAATCTTGAGTGAACCATGTGGGCTGTGCTCCAGGACTGGTCAACCCTTGGGAGTAAACAGTCCCCGCACGGCCCGGCTCCAGCGGTGTGTGTCAGCAGGACACCCTGAACCCTGTCCAGCTGAGTACTGCTGGGAGAGACCCCTCTCGCAGGAGTGTGGGGAGGGGTGGAGCGTCAAGACACCCCAAGCTGTGTAGGCACACATGTCACAACGGCACAGAGCCCTGGAGATGCGGGGGTCTAGAAACCGCAAGTGTGACCGAGGGGCCACAGCTTGGAGGCCCTGGGTGTTGGGGGGGAGGGGCATCTTCCCCGGGCCGGGGCCGGGTGGGAACATGGACAGGCTGCTGGCTTTGGGCTCAGGACCAAACAGCCGTCCTGTGGCTCGGGCCAGCCAGGGACCCTGGCCAGCACCCCTCCCAAAATACTGCTGCTACTCAAATCCTGGTGCCTGAATTTAGGCCTCCTGGTGGCTGGCCGCTGGGAACCCGCCGCCCGGGAGCCAGACCGACTCTGGGCAAGTGCTCGCCTCCACCCCAAGCTTCCAGTCTGGGTGGGCCAGTGGAGTGTGGACGGTGGGAGCTGAGCCCTGAGGCGCTGCTGCCACCTGCTGGGCCCACTGGCCAAGGCGGGCAGGTGGGGCCGGCAGGGGTCCTGCTGCGCGAGGAGCCACAGCCCCGGCTGAAGGTCAGTGCTTCACGTCTCTGTGCCTCAGTTTCCCCTTCTGCACGAAAATAACAGCTTGGAGGTCCTGGGGAATGAATGTGATCATGCGTGTAAGGGGCTCTGCTGGGGGACAGGGGACCACCCTTGCAGACTTGGGGACCCCACCTGCCGGGCAGAACCCACACTCGACACCTCCCTGTGTCCACACTTGGCTCACGCAGAGCCAGGGAGGCCGGCCTGACCCAGAGGCAAGTGCACTTCCAGCTTTGCCTGGGTGGGTGTTCACTTAGTTTGTAGGTGGGGCCCTGCTTGGGCCTGGGGACATGGTGGTGGCCCCGTTCGCTGGTGCACACAGTGGGGCTGTCCCTGTGGTGCTGTACGCAGGGACCTCGGAGTTGGGGGTAGGAGGGGAGAGGCCCCATTTGGTGGTGTCTTGAGACAGGCTGAGCGGCACCAGCTGCCCCCTTCCCGACACCAGGCTGCTGCCTTTTTGTGGCCATGTGTCTCTAGAGCCCCTTGTCCCCGTGGGGGCCAGGAAGGGGCTGCCAGGGCCGCAGAGGGGAGGCGCAGTGGGTTGGGGCCTGGAGTTCGCGTCTGAAATAAGAGCTGGCTGCGGCTGTCAGACTCCAGGGACTGCCGAGCGGGGTAAGCGGTGGGCTCACTGCCCTGCACTGGCAGTCAGGGCACTGCCCCCAGCCGCCGCCTCCTGCCACGGAGCAGCCTCAGCCCGCACCGCGCAGGGCCCGCTGGACATGTTCCCCAGGGAGGGTGCCCGGCACCCAAGGTGGGACAGGTGGAACCGTTGGGCGGTTTGTACGGGAACCCACAAACCCTGACTGTGACACCCCTCCCCCACCTGCCCACCCAAGGACAGCAGGTGCTCGGAGCCCCGGTCACACCGGGCCTGGCAGAGCTGCCGCCGCCCAGTGGGCATGGGTCCACCCCAGATAAACAGGAAGGAGCCGCAGGCACGGCGGCAGCAGACAGTCCAGCATGTGTCCTGTGGAGGGAAGGCACAGCTGGATGCAGGGACACACGGGCATGAGGGCTTGGAACAGGCGAGGTCAACAGGAGTGAGATGGGAGTGGATAAGGAGACGCGTGGGAGCGCGAGTGCCCTCCTGACTGCTGGAGCAGCCAGCCCGAACTCTCATGCCTTTAGGCGACACAGACTGATGGTCTTGTGGGCCCAGAGGGGACAGCGGCAGCCTGGGGCTGGGGGCTGGAGAGCAGGCCAGGGCAGGCCCGCTCTGGCGTTTCCATGGTCGTCTCTCCTTCTGCCTGGTGTGTGCGAGGACCCTTGTGATGACCTTGGGCCACCTGGACAATGCCTGTCCCCAGACACCCTCACACCTGTGGGTCCCACCCTGAGACCCTGAGGACTCAGCAGTGGGCCCTCAGGTCTGCTCGGCTGCCCAGCATGGGCAGCCACACAGGCACATCCTCAGTGCGCACTGGGGGCCTGCACACAGGGCAGCATGCCACATCATTTCGCGTAGGTTTAGGAGGCCTCAAGAAGGAAAAAGGAATGGCCTCGGGTCCCTGCTCCGAGGGCCCATCTAGCCCATGCCCACCCAGCTTCCCAGCCCAGAGGAGGATGGGTCTCCTGGCAACAGGCAGGACCATCCTCTGCGTGGTTCAGGATGATGGCCTTGGCTCTGGTCCTCTGCCACCCTCTGATCCCTGCCCTCTGTCTCCCCAGGATACCGAGAAGGCTTCCTTTGGAAGCGAGGCCGGGACAATGGGCAGTTTTTAAGCCGGAAGTTTGTGCTGACCGAGCGAGAGGGGTCGCTGAAGTATTTCAACAGAAATGATGTGAGCTGGGCATGGGGCCTGTCATGGCTGCACCTGGTCATCAGCTGCCCCCATGCAGTTCCCAGCAGCCACACTGTTCCTCCCGTGGGGATGCCCCCACCTGCCACCGTCCACTTCAGTCTCCCCCCGGGCCAGGTCTGGGTTGACAATGCCAGGAGCAGAACCAGCAAGCCCTTCCCTGCTGGGCACGCCCGGGCCAAGGGCCATCCAGGCTGCGAGTAGGTCAAGCCCTGTCCCCACCCAGACCAGCTCCAGATCAAAACATCCCTGTGACACAAAGAGCCAGAGGGTACCTACAGCAGTTCCCAGCCCCCCACACAGAGAAGAAAGCCAGGATGGTGGGACGGGAGCAGTGTGGGTGGTCGTGCCCAGCCTTAGGTAAGGGGCACACCAGAGCTGTGTGCCAAAGGGGCAGAGGAGGGTCCGCCTAGGTGTGGAGTACCCTCTTGGGAGGTGGATGCTGTTACCTTAGACTTGCAGATCAGGAAACCCAGGCCCAGAGAGGGTTAAGTACCTTGCCCAGAGCCACACAGCCCAGCCAGCACCCACAGGACCGCACTGCCTGCTCCCATGCCCACCTGGAGCTAAGCCATGGCCTTGCTTCCAGGCCAAGGAGCCCAAGGCTATCATGAAGATTGAACATCTGAACGCCACCTTCCAGCCAGCCAAGATCGGCCACCCCCACGGCCTGCAGGTCACCTACCTGAAGGACAACAGCACCCGCAACATCTTTGTTTACCACGAGGATGGGAAGGTGGGTGCGCGGGCCAGCGGACGGGTGGGCAGGTGTCCAGTCTGGTGGGCTGGTGGGCAAGCAGGTGGGCGGGCCAGCGGGTGGGAAGGCGGGTCCCTGGGCCAGTGAGTGGGTGGGCAGGCACCCAGGCCAGTGGGCTGGCAGGAAAGTGGGCGGGCTGGAGGGTGCCAGGGCTGGCTGGTGGGGGAAGGCGTCTGGGCTGCCCTCACGGCCAGCATGGCGCCAGCTGGGCCCTCGCCGGGGAGTAGACCCAGAGTCTGCATGGATGAGGGTGATGGGTTGGGGATGCATGTGCAGTGTCCTGCTCCGTGGCTATCCCACTGCCTCCCACCCAGCACCTCTGTAGCATGAGGGTGGAGGGCGCTCCCAGCAGACAACTGAGAGTCTGTCCTCTGTCCACTGGGGGCCTCTCCTCATCATTCTCTGGTTTTGGTCCCATGTTTGGATCCAGAACATGTGCTCATGGTTTAAAGGGCAAAATGGGTCTGTGAGGCTTCAGACACAAGCACCTGGCAACCACCTCTCACCTCCCTCTTCTCCCTTTTTTACTGTGTTAAAATACACATTTTCACAGTGTTTAAGTATACGGTTCAGGAATATTAGGTACCTTTGTTGTTGGTAAGCTGTCCCCCCAAATCTATTTCTAGAATGTTCCATGTCCCCATACTGACCCCCAGACCCCTGCCCCACCATCTACAGTGCCTGTGAGTCCGACCACTCCAGGACGCCATGTGAGTGGATCCCAGTGTCCTGCGTCTGGCTTGCGTCCCTCAGCATCACCACCTCAGGGTTGTCCACATGGTAGCAAGAGTCATTCCTTCCTTTCTGAGCCTGAGTGATCAGGTCACCTTTGGTTTACCCGTTCCTTCCTTGACAGACCCTTGGCCGGCTTCTACCTGCTGGTGATCATGCATGATGTTACTGTGACCTTGGAGGAACAAATACCTGAGACCCTACATTCAGTTCTTGTGATTAGCAGCAGAGGTGGAATTGTGGGATCACATGGTTAATAGTTTTTTTGAGTGACCTCCACACTGGTTTCCATGGCAGCCGCACCAGTTGGCATCGCCGTCAACAGGGCACACGGGTTCTTGTTTTTCTGTGTCCTCGCCAGTGCTAGCTTCTGGTTTCTGATTCTGGCCATTCTGATGTGTGTGAGGCGCTGGCTCACTGTGGTTTTGATCCGCATCTCCCTGGTGACACGTGACCCTGCTGGGTGGCCATCTGCATGTGGCCTTTGGAGAGATGTCTACTCAGGTCCCATTTTGGATTTGGGTGGTTTTTCTGTTGTTGAGATATAGGGCTTCTCCATATGTTCCGCATGTGCAGCCCTCATCAGATATGTGAAAACATTCTCTCCCGTTCTGGGGGTTAGTCGCCTTTTACTCTGTGGAAAGTATCATCTGAAGGGCATTTCACAATTTGCAGAGTCCAATTCGTCTCCTCTGGTGCCTGTGCCTTTGGTGTCAGGTCAATGTGATCGTTGCTGTATCCTACGCCGTGAAGCTTTTGCCCTGTTTTGTGTTGTCTTCTAAGATTTGTATTGACCAAGTCTTACGTTAGGACCTTGATCTACTTGGAGTTAATTTTTACATGTGGTGTGAGGTAAGGGTCCAAGTTCATTCTTTCTCATGTGGAGGTCCAGTTTTCCCATCATTGTTTGTTGAAGAAAAGTTGGTCCTTGCCCACAGCAAATGGTGTTGGCACCCCTTCTGAGAAACTAAGGTGACCACTTTCCAGGTTCTCCCTTCTGTTCCCCTGCTTTGTCTGTATGCCAGGGCTGTGTAATTTGGATTCCTGTGGCTTTGTAGTAAGTTTTGAAATTAGAAGTGTGACTCTTCCACTTTTGCTTTTTATAATTGTTTTGGCTACGCAGGTTCCCAGAGATTCTGTAAGGATTTCGTCAAATGCATTTTATGCATCAACCGAGGTGGTCATGTGGTTTGCTTTGCCTTTATTCTGTTAATACGGTGCATCACGTGTACTGATTTGTTGAAAATGCCTTGCATTTCAGGGATAAATTCCACTTGGTCATGGTGTATAATCTTTAAATGTGCTCAGTTGTTTGCTAGGCTGTGGTTGAGGGGATTTGCATCAGTGTGCACAAGGGAGACTGGTCTGTGGTTGTCATATTTTTGCCTGCCTTTGGTATCAGGATTACACTGGCCACCTAGGAGTTAGGACTCCCTCTCTTCAATTTTCTTGGAAAAGTTTGAGAAGGACTCATGTGGGTTATTCTTGAAGTGATTGTTGGAATTCACCAATGAGACCATCAGGGCCAGGGCTTTTCTTTTTGGAAAATGTTTTACATGTTTTGAGAGAGAGCACGTGTATGTGCATGTGAGTGAGCAGGGGAGGGAGAGAGAGAACAATCCCAAGCAGGCTCCATACTTAGCTCAGAGCTCAATGTGGGGTTCGATCTCACAAACTGTGAGATCATGACCTGAGCTGAAATCAAGAGTCAGATGCTTAACCGACCGAGCCCCCAGGTGCCCCTCTTTGCTGGGAGGTGTTGATTCCTGATGGAGCCCCCACTCATTTATCGGTCTGTTCACATTGTCTGCTTCTTCGTGGTTTGGTCTTGGCGGGTTTTCTGTTTCTAGGAATTTACCCACTTCATCTTGGTCACCCTGTTGTTGAAGTTGTTCACAGCACTCTCTCCTAGAGCTTTTGCTCTCTGGTCACAGTGTTCCAGTTTTGAGTTTGATTTTAGTGGCCTTAGTCTGTTTCTTAGGCCATCCGGCTCAAGGCCTGCCAACTGCTGCTCTTTTTGAAGAACCAACTTTTGTTGCTTTCATTTACTTTCTCTATTGCATTTCTATTCCCTGTTCATCCACCTCGCTCCAACCTTTCCTGCCTTCGGCCGGCACTGGGTGTAGTTCTTCTTTGTCTGGTTCCTCCCCTGGTAAGTCAGGTCACCGATCTGACACCTTTCTTGTACTTTTGTGGCAGCGTTTACAGCGCACACCTCCCTGTGGGCACACTGTTGCTGCACCCCGTGTTTCCTCCATCTCGGAAGATTTTCTCATCTCCCTTGTGATTTCTTCTTTGGTCCACCTGTTGCTTAATAAAAGTGTGTTGTTTCCACGATGTGGTGAACGTCCCACTTTTCTTTGCGTTGACGTCTAACTTCACCCTGTCGTACCCAGAGGAGGTACTTTGTATGAGACCTATTTGGCCTCACCATGCGTTCGGTCCCATGGGCACTAGGGATGAACCTTCTGGACTGAATTTATAGTAGCTGAGCATCAGCAACACACCGAGACTGCTCCTTCACATGGCCTGGGCCACACCCCGTGGCTGTAGATGCCATGGTCTTACCTCTCCGTACACTGTGCGCCCCGAGGCACCATCATCCTTTTAAACGCTCCATCTCCCAAAGCGAGTATAAAACATCTGTAGTTATAAGCCAGTTATAGTCAGAAAGTAACTTTTATTTACTGCTTTTTCTTTAAAACTTACTTTTGGAACTGCCCAAACACTTCCTTTTCCTGAGATCTTCGTTCCTCCACACGGCTTCGAAGTCACTGTTGTCGCTTTGGTTCCTCGGTCTCATCTTGGAGGAAAAACTCTTCCTAGCGGCAGGTCTCCCCCATAAGGCCTTTATTGTGTTGACACACATCCCCCCTAATCCGAATTTGCTTTTTCTGCATCTAGTGAGGTGACCGTGTAGTTTTTAATCCTTCATCTTGTTGATAGGACTTTGTGTTGTTGCTCTGTGACCGCTGAGGCACCCTGGTGTCCCTGGCATAAACCCATTGATTATGGTGAATGACCGTTGGACTAGGTTTGCTGGAATAGGGGGAGGATTTCTGCATCTGTCTTTATCAGAGCTCACTGGCCTGATATTGGCTGAGTATGTTTGGTTTGCTATCAGGGTGATGCTGACCTCAGAACAAATCTGGAAGCTTTCCTTCTATTTTTTGCAGTAATATGAGAATTAGTATTAACTCTTCTTTAAATGCTTGGTGGAATTCACTGGCGAAGCCACCTGGTCCTGTAATTTTGGGTCTTGAGACCTGAGTACGGATTCCACTGTGTCACTAGTGATTGGTGTTTTCTATTTCTTCCTCATCTGGTTTTGCAAGATCGCATGCAATGTTATGTGACAGCAGCAGGTTTTAGGAGGTCCCTGGTTCGAGGCCTGTGAGCGGATCTTCAGCTTTATCCAGAAGCTCCGCCCTCCCTTTCCTTGGGAGAGCGATGGCAGGGAAGGCAAAGGGTAGCTGCTGGGAACCCAGGCAGGGCCCTTCTGTTTGTGCAGCACAAGTCTGAAGGAGGGTCGTGTGTGCCTGATATGGGAAGGCTGTTAGATATGGTTCTGCCCTCAGCGAGCGGGTGCACCATTTGCCAGGGGAGAGAAGTGCTAAGATCCCACCTATACTGAGCACTGGTAACAGTGACTGAATGATTGGAGGGAGGGCACCCTCATCCCAAGGGTGAGGACAGGCAGTGGGGTGGCATGTGTCCCTGTGTCCAGATGAAACAGGACACGGTCCGAGGCTGACAAGGCTGAGTGGCAGGAAAGGGCCCGAGGCCACGCTGGGAAGGTGTCGCTGCCTACCCTGAACTGCCAGTGACTCACCCAGCTGCATGGTTGCGATGATGTTAGGGAGCCTGAGAGGAGGTGGGAGGCCAGGGAGCGGGCAGGAGACGGTGCCTTTTGGTCTCTGGGGCTGGGGAGGAACTAGAGAGGTCAGGGGTGACCAGAAGGAGTGAATGGGGCTGTGGGCAGGGCCCAGAGTGGAGGTCACGGCCTGGACTGGAGGTCCCATGGAGGAAGGTGGGGGGGACAGGAGACATGGTAGCAGGCCCCAGGCACAGGGCTGTTAAGAGGGTGTGGGGTCTGCAGCTGGCGGAGGTGGGAGGAGGTGGGCTATGGCCACAGTGGGCACAGGGTGACCCTGTGGGCCAGTGAGCTAGCTACCCAGTGATCAGGGACAGGACACCTGATGGCTCCCAAGTGCCAGCAGGGGGAGGAGAGGTTTGGGCTCCTCCAAGGTTGAGGCAGATTCCAGCATTGGGGGGCGGGGGCTCTGGAGTGGGCATGGCCCCAGGAGAGAGGCAGGGGCTGGGCGAGCACCCTGTCTGGTGATGGGGTTCCCCTCCCACGGAGCGACTCTCTTCTTTCCCTCAAAGGCGGGAGGTGGCAGCTCTGGGCAGGTTTAAAAATAGGCCTCTCTCTGGGCAATGTATCAGCTTTGTAACAGCAGCTCCATCTGAGAGGAGAGAAGCTGCCTAGAGCACCATCTGCCCAGGACGTCAGTCCCCTCCACCCTACCCCTGGGCAGCTGCCCTGAGCAGGGTCCCCGTCCCCTGCTGCCCCCCAGCAGGCCTCACACAGCACACAGTCTGAGGGGGGCAGAGCTCACAGCCCAGGCCCACGCCCGCCTCTGACCCACAGGAAATCGTGGACTGGTTCAACGCACTCCGTGCAGCCCGCTTCCACTACCTGCAGGTGGCATTCCCGGGGGCCAGCGACGCCGACGTGAGTGGCGGCTGTGTGTGTCCACTGTTTGGGTGGGGGGGGCACACAGCCCGAGCCTGGTATGCTGGGCCAGGGACCCGCTCCTTTCCGCTGGGGCCTCTCAGCTCAGAGGCTGTGACAGGGAGGAGGGGCTGGGGGGTCGTGGGAGAGCAGCCGACCCCCCAGACGGCCCGGGCCTGAGCCTGTCTTCTACCCTAGCTGGTGCCGAAGCTCTCCCGGAACTACCTGAAGGAAGGCTACATGGAGAAAACCGGGCCCAAGGTGGGTTTGACTGGCTGCCCTGGGCCCCCAGGCCTCCTCCGAGGCCAGTATCTTGGCCTCCTGTTGCTGGGGTGGCTGTGGAGGGTCCAAGGGCAGAGACACACCTAGGTGAAGACTCAGTGTGTCCTTGGCATGCTTCTAACAGGTCATCTTGACCCCAAAACCTTTTGTAAGCGGGGGCCCTTGGGTCAGGACTGTGGGGCTCTGGTTGGCCCTGGCCACTCGACCCTAGCCAGTGCCAGGCCTCCCTTGTGCTTTTGCCCATCAGGTACCTGTGCACCCACTTGGGCGCCACAGGGCCACCCAACCCCTTCCGTGTCATGTGGAAGCATGCACATGTTGGCCCCATGGCTTAAGTGGGACTCTTGAGGCCTGGGCCCCAGCTGAGCCCCTAGGGAGGAGCAGGATGTACAGAGGAGGAGCAGGATGTACAGAGGAGGAGGGGGATGCTCAGGAGGAGGGAAGGGCACTGAAGTGGGACAGCACACGTGCAAAGGCCCTGGTGCAGCATCTGGTGGGTGAACAGGCAGGGCCCACAGAAGGCCCGAGGGAAGAAGGAAGGGAGGCAGGCTGGGGCCCGGTTCAGGCTGACCCGCCAGCCCCTCTCACAGCAAACAGAAGGCTTCCGAAAGCGCTGGTTCACCATGGATGACCGGAGGCTCCTGTACTTCAAAGATCCCCTGGTAAGGATGGGTCCTGCCCCTCGAGGGGTTGGGGGTTGGATGCCTCCCCACCCACGACCACGGCCTGGCGGTTGCTGGCCACCGGGGTGGGGAGGATGCACAGGAGGAAGGGCCTTGTCCCCGGGGTGTGGGCCACCTGGCCCAGAGGCTCAGCCGGGCCCCAACCCCCAGGACGCCTTTGCTCGCGGGGAAGTCTTCATCGGCAGCAGGGAGAGCGGCTACACGGTGCTGGATGGGCTCCCGCCGTCCACCCAGGGCCACCACTGGCCGCATGGCATCACCATCGTCACACCTGAGCGCAGGTTCCTGCTGGCCTGCGAGACGGAGTCTGAGCAGCGGGCATGGATGGAGGCTTTTCGGAAGGTGGTGGACAGGCCCATGCTGCCCCAGGAGTACGCTGGTGAGTGTGGGCAGGGTGGCAGGGGCGGGGGCACCCAATGCTTCCTGCGTGGCCATGACACGGCTGCACACCTGTCCTTTTCCAGTGGAAGCCCACTTCAAGCATAAACCCTAAGGAGAGCAGGTCATGGAGGCCGAGGGACCTGGACTGACTTGCTGCAAGTGCCATCCAAGAGTTGGCTGCTAGGCGGGGCTGCAGACGGAGGGGCAGGGCTCCAGCCTCCTGGCCCCGCCCTGAGGGGACACCCTGGTGCGGCCAGGCGGGGCCTGAGCTTTAGCCACTGAGACTTGTTTCTCCGGAACCTCACCTCAGGCTGGCCGGCCTGACCTCGGACCCCATCGTGCTGCTGTCCACAGATGTGACCCTGCTCCCCCTAACCCCGTCCCCTGGACCACCCTTCCTTGGGGCAGCCCCTCACCCATTCACTCTGCCCCCTGCCCACCAGAGCAGGACCCTGCCCGACCAGGAGACTGGGCTGTGGGGACAGCGGGCAGCCTGCATGCCTCTCCTCCGGCCCCTCTTACACGTCCCCTCAACAAGTATTTATTGAGCACCTTCTGTGTGTCAATCGTGGGGTCCTGGGTGCTGGCACAGGGGTACTGTTCTTATCCTCAAGGAGCTGACCTGGCGTGTGCATGAGGGTCCTGGGGGCAGAGGCCCCCAACGGGCTGGGGTTTCAGGGCTGCCTGCCCACTGGGCGCTTGGGCACCTGGATTGGGAGGAAGAATGGAGAGTCAGCTCTGGTCTGCTGCCTGCTGGGCACTGACTGGTGACCCACCCCACAGGCCTGGAAGATGGAGGCTGAGCTTGCCCCCCCCAGGACCCCAGTGTGCTGCTGGCCAGCTGGTAGTTACAGCCGCCGAGCCTCTCCCCGGGCACCCTGGCCCTGCCCGCTCTTGGTGGCCCCTCCTGTCCCACTGGACTGGCCCTTGAGGGGACCAAGAGTCCCCAAGGCAGGGTGGTGTCCCCGCACCAGCCCCACACGACCTATCCTTAAGTGGTCTCTTGTGTTATATTAGAGGTTGGGGTGGGGGTTCTGGGCCCCAGGAAGACCTACCTGCTGGCTACAGAAAAGCCAGAACATGGGGACACTTCTAGGCAACAGTGCCCAAGGGCCCCTGCCTGTCCTCGCGGGCCCGGCTCCCACCAGGCCTTCTTCCCTCTGTATCTGAGCACACAACCTGCCCCCTCACACCCGTGCAAACCTGGACGGGGGTGGCCACAGGGTCCAGAGAGGAGCATGAGGCAGGCCCCCCCATCTCTGCCCTGACCCTACTGAGCAGAGGCTGCCAGGGTAGAGGCCCCCCCAGACAGTTGGGCTGGGGGTGAGGCCAGCCGGCATGTCAGCCAGGGCCACTGCCCGAGTCCCAAAGACCCCACCTGCCCCAGGACAGGCTGTCCATTCGCCCTGCCCCTCCACAGCCGTGACCCACCACCACTGGGCCGTCTTCCCAGGAAACAAGCCCCACAGGCAGGAAGAAGCCTCCTCCTGGGAGACTAGAAACCTCGTGGTCCCCTCCCCGGCCACGAGTCCTCTGGGACCGATCTAGACCCTCTCTCGACCCAGAGGCAGATATACTGTGCCCGTTTTAATAAGAAACAATTTTACCTCTGGTGGGAAGAATTTCTGGAACAAGGCAGTAAACTCATGGTCCATAAAGGCAACCACCGGGCTTACCTCACACATGTTCAAGAGATGGGCCGCTCGTAGTTCGGGTGCTGGTCTGAAGGTCAGCATGGGGCCAACGGTCGTGGTGGCCTCTGCCTCCCTTGTCCCGTATGGTGAAAATGCGGGGACACGAGGCCTGCCCGGCTGCAGGTGCCATTCACGACTGTCGGGTAACAGGGCCACGCCCCCAGGAGAAGTGGGCCTCCAGGAGCTGAGGGTCCAGGCAGATGCCACCCTAGAGTGACTTGGGCGCAGCAGGACAGCAGGCATACAGGGGCACCATGCTTACCAGGCAAAACTGCACAGAAAGACCGCCGTTCCCCTCAAACTCCCCACACACCGACTGCGCTGGACGCAGGGTGCAGTTCCAGGGTGAACATCACGGCACGAGCCAGGCACCCAATGTGGGCTTGGGACCCCGCACTTCAGAACCTCCCCCTTTCAAGGACTCCCGGAAACAACCCCCACTCCTGAGAACCATGCCGGGGAGCTGGTGGGGGCTCAGCATGGTCTGTCCCTGCCTTCCCTGCGGCCTGATGTCCATGGCGCCTCCCCATTTAAATACACCATGGCTACATATTTACACGGAGAGCCACGAGAACGTCTGTCACATGTGCATGGCTGCCCACAGCACCCACATGGGCACGCCAGTCCCGGCATGTGCTCCCCGCTGCGCACTCAGAAAGGACGAGCATGGCAAAGCCCAGTATAAAGGATTTATTTGAACTCAACAATTAACACAAACCTCCCTTTAAACCCCATTTACAGTCAATGAAAGTGTGCGCTTGCTCCTCGCCATGCATGATCGCCATGTATTAATCTACAACTCTTAAATTGTGAAAAAATAAAGTGTCTCCCCTCTTGTAATCGCCCTGGGAACACCAAGTCTGGCATCGGCGAGAAAGGGCAGATCTGCTCACTCCTGGACTGGCTATTTGATAAAGCCCTAAAACGTCAGGTCAAAGGAATCAACCACCTGACGAAAATAAATACCGCCTCCTGAGACGTGGAAAGGACTCCCGAACCCCTTGCGAGGCCCATCCTGAGCAGCCGTGGCCTCGGGATTTGGCACAGAGCAGCCGCCCAGATGCTCACCGGGCCACCGCAGGACGTGCAGGCGGTGGCGGCCACCCCCCACACCACCTGTGACGGGGACGGGCCTCCGTCGAACACCGGACGGCCTCCCGAAGCAAACCAGACACAGAGGACAGGGAGAGGATGGTAGCGCGGCAAGGCCCGTGCTTTATTGTGGTCAGTCTGCAGGTGCAGCGCAGCCCAGCCGACACGGCCGAGGCGCAGCCCGGGGCGGGTGTGCAGACACCACCACGGCCGCCGTGGAACGGGAGCCCCTGGGTATGGGGGCTCGGGCGGCATCGTGTGGGCTGGCGGGCAGGGTCAGTCGAGCTCGATGGGGCTGCTGTCGTCCTGACTGTCCTCGCCCTCCTGCTCCGAGGCGCCCATGAGGCTGCTCAGAAGGTTCCCTGGAAGCAAACGCAGGCGCCATGAGGCACAGCGGCTCCGTGCGGCCGGCGCCCCCGCCTGGGGAACCCCACCTTCCATGGTGCTGCAGCCCCGACGGGAGGTGTGTGAGCCCCACCACACACCCCTGGGTACACGATGCCCGTGCTCGGGGCCTGCAGAGCCATCGGGAGACTGCAGTCATGGGACATCACCGTCTGCCCGACAGGAGGCCACAAATCACACACGGGTGGATAATCCAGAAACAGCTGGGATGCGTCAGAGACTCCAGGGCCACACGTGGAGGTGCTAATGGCTGTCGCCCCTGCACAGTCACCACGGACACCTTGCCTCTGTTCTCATTTCCTCCATGGAACTGCTGTCACCACAGGGTTGGGAGTTTACAGAGTCACCTTAGGCCAAGCCACCAGAACAACAAGAAAACAAGTGCAAATGTGAACAACGTTCTCCGGACGCACTCTGTCATGAACGTGCAGAATTGTCCACAATCTGTCGCTAGCTCAGGTCCAGCGAACACTCTAGCAGCGCCTTAGGGTGCTGGATGGCCCACCTCTGAGGTTCTGGCAGGAAACGAACAAGCACGAAGTTTCGGGATACGTGTGGCGAGGGGTGAGGCAGACACGCAGCCCCCAGGCCCGGCGTGGCTGCAGTGCATGGACACGCCTGGTGTGGGAAGGAAAGGGGGGTCTCCACTGCACACCTTCCCGGGACAAATCCAGACACAGACACGCACAATTTATAACTAGAAAGTCAAACTGTGTTCACTGGGAGACGGCTTTCCCATGTCTCAAAAACGGGAAGGCCTTCCCACGGTTTGGCCCACAGGCATCACAATGGCAAACGCCCCGCCAGCCCAACCCCGAGGGGCCCCCTGAGGCAGGTGCCATGGTCACGGATGTGGTGGGACGGCACCTGGGGCAGCCTCAGCTCCAGGGCGAGGTGCCGATGTACACTCAACCGGCCTGGCATGCTTACAGAGTCCAACTACGGCCTCTGTGGAGAACCACCACCGGCTCCACAGTAGTAACACACTGAGCCTCATAAAAGCCACTCTCAGATGAAGGACTACACTGGCCCCTGCCTTGGGGGAGGTCAAAGTTCGTGTGGGACACCAGTGAAGGCAACGGCACATGGGGGCTGAGGCCTGGGGCTGCCAGGCTACGCAGACGAGGGGAGGAGGCCTGGCCCCGAACAGCCGCCAAGACTAATCCATGAAGAAGCAGATGTGAACGGACCGGTGAACGAGTGAGGACGCTTGCGGATAGAGCAAAGCCTTGGCCGTGACCCCTCACTGGTGATTTCCACCCGACCCACTCCAGTCCTTCTCAAACTTTCCCTGAAACGCTGAGGAAAAGGAAGCGTTTCCTCACTCCTTCTAGGCGGTCAATGTAACCCCCACCAAAGGCAAAGATGCTTACATGATCACGAACTGACGTCCCTCATGAGCACGAACGCCCCGAGCAGAGTGCTGGCAGACAGATCGGGGTACACACAGCAGTACGATGCGCCCCGACTGGGTTCATGCCCAGACCATGGGGCTAGGTCCCCAGGAGTCCGGCAGGGTGACGAAGCCCGTCAGCAGAGGAGGAAACCCCCCCCCCCGCCACCGACCGTCCATCCCCACGGACTGAGAACGGCCCCTCCTAAACCTGACACAGTTGTAACAGCCAAAACAGAAGGAACAACCTCCACACGGTCCCTGCTGTCTCTGGAAACCCCATGCAGGGGTAGGGAAACGTAATGTGCAGGGGTGAGAGACTGAGAGTTTGTCCTCAAGCACAGACTTGTGAGGATGCCCTTACCACCTCCATTCTACACCATAGTGGAAATTCCCGCCAGAGCAACTGGGTGAGAGAGAGAAGGAAAAGGCACCCACGGTGGAAAGGAGGAAGCAAAATCGCGTTTGCACAGGACATGGGCTTCTGCAGAAAATGCCAAGGACCACATCAAACAGCTGCTGGAGCGAGTGGCTCCAGCAAAGTACCAGATAGAGTCGGCGCATGAAAATCAGCTGTGCTTCTCTATGCCAACGACAATCTGAAAGAGAAATTTTAACAATTCCATTCGCAATAGGATCCAAATGAATAAAATACTTGAGGAACTGGCTTTAACCAAGGAGCTGAAAGACGCATGAATGAAAATAACAACATGTTGGCGAAAGAAAGTCATGAATAAGTGGAAAAGCTGTCCGAAGTCCGTGGCTTGGAAGACGTGGTATGCTGTAAATACCAACACCACCCGACGCCATCTTCAGAATCGATAGTCTCAGTCAAAATCCCTATGACTTTTTTGCAAGATAAGAAAAACCCATCTTAAAATTCACATGGGATTGCCATGGACTCAAACAGCCAAACTACCTGGAGAAAGAACAAAACTGGAGGGCTCGTGTTCCCTGATGGCGAAATTTTGTACAAAATAATCAAAACAGTGTGTCATGGGCAGACACTCACACACAGGCCAGAAATAGGCCTGCGCACACAGGGTCAAACACATCCGAGTAGTGCAACAAGACCACGCACGGGAAGATCAGCCTCTCTGACAAGTGATGCCACCGCGCCAGACCCCTACCTCACATCACACACAACTAGCTCAAAACGGATCAAGGACCTACCCAGAACAGTAAAACCTTTAGAAGACACAGAGCAGAAGCTTCCCAGCACTGGAGCAGACGACGACTTTACAGGCACAGGCGATGGAGAGGAAACAAATGTGCTTGAAAACGTACAGCTCTGCAGCAGAGGGCACAGGCCAGAGAGAGAAGGCAGCGGGGTGTCGGGGGCATGGACGACTTTTAGGGCAGAAACTGCTCTGTACGATTCTCTTACGGTGGGTACATGGATCTAAACATACACCATCAAACATGGACCTGAATGTAAACCAGGACCTTTGGGTGACAGCCATGTGTGGGTGCAGGTGAATTTCAACAAGTCCCCACTCCGTCGGTGGATGCAGGTACGGGGAAGGGCTGTGAGGGGCACAGAGGGTAAACGGAAAATCTCTGTACCTTCCTTTTTATTTCTGTGAAACTAAAATACTTAAAAAACAAACCAGACTTAAGGGGCACCTGGGTGGCTCAGTCTATTGAGTGTCTGACTTCACTTTAGGTCATGATCTCACTCAAAGTCTGTCAGTTCGCGCCCCACATCAGGCTCTGTGCTGACAGCTCAGGGCCTGGAGCCTGCTTCAGATGCTGTCTCCCTCTCTCTGCCTCTCCCCTGCTCACACACTCTTTCTCAAAAATAAACACTAGAAAAATTTTTTTAAATAAAGTCTTAAAAACAAGGCAATCCACAAAACGGGAGAAAATATTTCTGAATCTTTGAATCTTATGTCTGATAAGGAATCAATACCTAATATAGAAAATTCGTCAACTTGATTCAAAAAGAAGCACAAGACCTGACCAGATATACAAACATACAATCCTCTAATAAGCACAAGAAAACACACTAAGCACCCAGATCAGCAGGGACCCCACACCTTGTACGACAGCCATAGAGACCAGGGCAAGGATGAGGAAAAACCAGGCCCCCGTGAGCACTGGTGGGACATGAAATGGGGCCGCCGCTGTGGGGGACAGTCTGGTGACAACTCCAAACTTGAATACAGACCTTCAATGGGACCTGGCAAGTCCAGTTCAGGGTGATTTACCCAAAGCACTGGGTGCAGGGACCCCAACACATATGGGCACCCTGTGTTCACAGCAGCGCGATTCATGCAGTCAACAGATGGAAGCCACCTGTGTGCCTCACAATGAAGGTGACACGATGCGCTCCATCCACCCACGAAATACTATTCGACGTGATCCAACATGGAGGACACTGTACACATCATGGTAAATGACACAGCCAGACACAGAAGGAGCCACTCACACAGTCCCGGGGTCGTCAGACTCACAGACACGCAAGGACACGCACTGGGACTCACTCACACAAGTTCTTGGGGTCAGACTCACAGAGTAGACAGTGGGACTAGGGCTGGGGGAGGGAGGGGTCCGTGTGTAATGGGACCCAGTCTCAGTGTGGGGAGACGGAACGTTCTGGAGATGGACAGTGGGAACGGCTGCACAGCAGCTTGACTGTGCTCAGTGCCCTGAGCTGCTCACTTGGAAGTGGTGAGAATGGGCAATTTTATGGTGTGTACTCTGCCAGAAAAACAAAGGACAAAACAAAAAGCCCACGAAGAGGGAGCCCTGGCCACTCAGCTGTGCGGGAATCCACCAGAGAGGACCGCCTCCCCCCCACCCCACCCCTGCCTTACCCAGCAGGTCCCCCACCCCATTCCCTCCCTGCCGTCCCCCACCTTACCCAACAGGCCCCCATACGAAGAAGTCTGCTTGGGCGGCACCCCGAAGAACAGCTGTCCTATCCGGTCCAGGTACTGCAGGAGGCAGAGAGCGGGCGCTCAGCGGGGCCGCGACATGCAGGGACACGCCCTCCCATCTGAACTGTCCCCAGGCTCCCCTTCTCCTCACCGGCCAGTGCCTGGCCCCATGCACCCCTCACCTCGTTGTACATTGGGTCCCGCCGGAGGGATGGCTGGTACTGTTCACACAGCACCGTGAACACGGTCAGCTTGCCCCTGAAACGACATGGGACCGTGGCACACAGAGTCCAGGGGACCCCGACGAGCAGAGCACACACACACCCGCACACGTGCACCCCTCCACTCGCCCCTCCACACACACATGCGCGCACCCCCTCACTCATCCCTCATACATGCACATGCGTATCCCTTCCACTCATGCACACCCTCCACACACATACACATGCACCCTTCCACTCACACCTCCACACACGCACCCCCGGGTCCACTCACGCACCCCCCCTCCACTCACCCCTCAACACGCACACACTTACCCCTTCCACTCACACCTCTACACCCATACACACGCACCCCCTCCACTTGCCCCTCTGCACACCCCCTCCACACCCGTACACCCGTACCCCTTCCACTCACGCCTCCACACATGCACCCCCTCCACTCACTCCTCCACACATGCACCCCCTCCACTCACCCCTCCACACCCGTACACGCACACCCTTTCCACTCACGCCTCCACACATGCACACGCGCACCCCCTCCACACGCACACGCGTACCCCTTCCACCCATCCACACACACACACACCCCATCCACACACGTACACTCATCCCTCCACACATGCACCCCCTGCATACACCCACTCTGCACATGCACACCCCCTCTACACGCACTCATCCCAACTGCACACGTGCACCCCCTAAACACACACGAACCCATCCCCTCCAACACGCATCCCTCACCCCACACATGGACATGCACCCTCACACATGTGCACAACTCACCCATCTACAGCCAGCAGCAGAAACCAGATGAAATTAAGCAAAGGTTGCACGAAGGGAGGACCGTTCTCGATGGACGGGTGTTTCTGTGTGTACGTCGTGAACACCACCGACGCGCTGCTTTTGTTCTTTAAACAGAGAAACCTGAAAGGAACAGGCCACCGAGGTGGGAAGAAGGGACTCACACAGATGCTCATGTGAACACTGGACCTGGGATGCGTATGGGGGCACGGAAAGCCGTCACCAACCAGTGCACCGGGGCCCTCGCCAGGCGGGGCCCCATGCTGAGATAAGCCGCCCCCGTCGCACACGGCCCCTTTCCATGTTTGCCATTTTCGGGCAAGGACGGGAGGCTTGGGAGGGTGACTGTGTCTGCAGCAGGTTCTCGAACTCAAGGCCGCCTGCACCCGGTAGGCATCTACCTGTGCGAGCTGTCAACCCAGGGCCGGGAGGCAGCGTGTGGGGTGGTGGGGCAGGCTCTGGCTTCCCCAATGTGGGGACATCTCTGTGGCTTCCCTGCAGGGGACCCCCTCGTCCCTTCTCAAGGTACAGACAAGGTTACTAGGCATTTTAGGCTCCACACATCACACACCACACTGCCGGACTCAGGGGCTCTAGTGTCGCCCAAACGTCTCTGTTCAGAGGGGCAGATGCCTACCAGGCTGCTGTGTGGCGGAGCAGGGAGCTCCGAGGTGCCGTTGAGTCCAGGGAGCACGCTTCGACCCTGTCCCATTCACGGGACGTGTCCCATTCCGACACCTGGCTGCCGAATCAGGGGTTTCTGCAGTGGGAACGCGGGCCCACCCTCCCCCCGGAGCTATGTGTGCCTGATGGTCCCGGGAAACCACCAGCAGGAGGCAGGGAGGAGACCTGACGGGAACAGGGGGCGCGCAGGCCGCAGCGGGAGGAGGGCGGGGGGGAACCCCCACACGAGGCGTCTGGGACCCATGCTTGCTCGTCCTGGGACAGCTTGTTGAACAGCACGTCCTCCCACGGCAGCAGCCCGATGCCCACAGAACCGAGGGAGAACGGGACACGGGGAGGACAGGAGGATGCGGCTCGGAACATGTGCCCTTCCACCCTCCAGACTCCAATCTTACACACGCACGGTGGGGACCAGAGTGCTAGCACGCGGTATCCCCCACCGGTTCACAGCAAGGATGCAGGGCGGCGTCTCGAGCACCTACTGTAGCACAGCCTGGGCCACGAACATGTCCACCTCGCTGCGGAAGCCCCTGGACGTGGAGTACTCCACCAGCATGTGCGCACAGCCCTCGCCGTCCGCCGAGTGCAGGAAGTGGTACCGGGACTCACAATAGTTCTGCTCTGCGGGGGGAACAGGACACCCGTTGAGTGCAGAGCGCGTTGCCCGCCTTCCCCACACCAGCCACGGCGGCCACCTCCCGGACATCACATTCTGCAAGTCCGATGCCCACGGTGGGAAGGCAGGCTTCGGGCTGACGTCCCCACACTGGCGTCCACATCAGCTGACGCGAGAGCACAGACTAACGCAGGACCCTGGGCTCATGCGATGGCAGTTCCATATGGTCCTTACGAACGAGACACAGACCCCTGGAACCCCACACACGAGTGCCGTGAATGTCAGAGTGGCAGCCAGAACCAGGTCAGGCCTGCCTGTCCCCCAGGCCACGTGAAGGCCCCTGATGTCCACACAGCCACACACCCTCTCCCTGTCTTCAGAGGCACACTCCACATTTGCTCTCCGTGTTTATCATCTGTCCTCTTGAGAAGCCCCCCACCAGTTGGGGAAGAATCCCTCCTGCACATCCCCACTATGATCCTGCCACTGCCAGTGGTGAGGACGTAGCTCAGCCCCACTGTGTCCCCGGGAAAGGGCCAGACTGTCCCCACTCAACATGGGGTCACCTGGGAGCCAGTCAGAAACATGGGATGTGGTCTCGGCCTTCTCGGCCCCTTCCCTGTGGCCACACCTGTCACCAGGGCATGAAGCTTTAGGGCTAACAGCACAAAAGGGGACTGGAAAGGGCCTTCCAGGGGATGTGTGCTGTCTGTTAAGCGCTCCTATTGCAGACTCTCCGGGAGTTTGAGTGGTGCGCTCGTTAACAAATTAGTGGAAAACCCAGCCTTCCCAATCCCGGCAAATGACTCAGATGTAACTGTGCGCCCTGGCTGCTGGCCTCACAACACTGATTCAACGCCCTCCCCTCCCACGGGGCACCTGGCAGTGCGTAGGCACTTTTGGCTGCCACAGCTGGGAGGTGGTGCTTCCAGGGTGCCTGGAATGTCCGCTGTGCGGAGGCACAGCCCCAGCCTAAACCAAGCCAGCTCCCCACACCCCAGCCCATTGCCCAGAGTGCACTGATCGCGGCCCTGTCCCGCTCACGAACCCCCGGTTCCCACACCTTTGCAGGGCGAAAGCGCCGGGCCCCAGCGGCCTGCCACCTTCTGGTGCGAACAGTTGCCCCTACGTGGCCATGACTGCCTTCCTGTTCTCGCCTGGCCCCCAGCGCCTGGCATGCCACCTCCAAGAGCTCAGAATGATTCCAGGGCCAGCATTTCTTTGCGAACGTGTGCTCTTTGTCTCCCTTCTCTCCCTCAGCCCATCAAAAACTAATCTTCTGGCTTTAGAGCATCCACAGAAGAAAAATTAGGCAGAACTACATCCAGATGTTCCATCCCAGCACAAGCCTCGCTCCCAGAACTGAACTGGACCCCGCACAGGAGCACCTCGGGGGTACCACGGGGTCGGTTCCAGATCAACCCACTGAAGTCAAGGTTCTGGTTTCCCAGGGCACAGAAAGCCGTGTTCACGCTGTACCGCAGACTGCTAAATGTGCTCTAGCTCTGTCTGAAAGCGAGGAACAGAATTTAAATAACAAATGCTGATGTCACCTGTGCCAGCAGCGGGCTGTCATCTCTCTGCCAGTGGAAGGTTCTCCTGGAGGCCTCTCCTGGAGGCCGCTGGCTGCTGACGGACCAGGGCGGTGGCTGCCGGAGGCTGGGTGGTTCTGGCAAGTTCTCAGAAGGAGACAGTGAAGTTTGCTGTGCTGATGGACTCTTTCCCGAAAGGTCTCTGTCACGTGCAATGCTGTCCGACAGCATTTTACCCCCAGGAGAACTTCCTTCATGCCTGGAGTCCAGCCCCTCAGACCTGCGGCTGCTTCATCAGCTCCTTCATGTGACGTTCTGAACCCTCTGCGATCATCTGAATCACCCGCACACGCCTCTACCGGGAGTGGCTTCCGGCTCCAGAAACCCTTTGCTGGCTCGCCTGGAAGGAGCCAAGCCTCATCGGGTATAGCGGGAGACAGAAGTGGTTCGGCCCCACTTGGGGTCCTGGTTCTCTTCCTGTCCCCCTACATCTGTACGGACTTGAACCCCGCGAGGTTGTCCCTGAGGGCTGGAATCGCCTTCTGTCAAACTCCTGTCGCTGTGGATATTCTGGCCTCTTCCTGTGACTCCTGTTTGACCTCAGTGGTGTCTCGAATGGTGAATCCTTTCCAGCAGGTTCTCGGAGGTCCTTTCCCATCAGAGGAATCTCCGTCTATGGCCGTGGCAGCCTTAGGAAACGTACTTGCCGAGCATGACTGGAAGATGGAAGCGACCCCTCAACCCCCGGGCTGCAGAGTGATGTTGTATGAGGCGTGAAAACCACACTTGTCTCGTTGCCCGTCTCCATTGGAGCTCCTGGGCCAGCAGGTGCACTGCATGCACACTGCTGTCATCCAGGCTTCGTCGTCCCCTTCCCAGAGGACAGCAGAGCAGAGGGCACTTGTTAGGGGCCTCGCATTCGGGAACGGTTGACGAGCACCCACCCCGCTTACGGTCACCGGCCACATCGGCCCCCGAAAGGAGGGTCAGCCTGTCTCTCAAGGCTTGGGAGCCGGGGACTGACTTCTCCTCGTTAACTACGCAAGTCCCAACGGTCCTTCTAAGACCTGTCATGGAGCATGGCTACTTTCATTAACGGTCTCAGCCAGACCTCCCGGACCATTTGCGGCAGCGTCTACACCGCAGAGCACTCTAACATCATGGAGATGGCCTCTGCCGGCTTCAGACTCTCCTCCTGTAGCTGCCTCCCCCGCCTCGGCCTCCATGGAATTGAGGGTAGTCGGGGCCTCGCTCTGGTTAGGCTGGGCTCACGGGGATACTGTGGCTGGTTCAGTCTTCTACCCCAACCACTAAAACAATACAGCTGATTCTTTCCCGTCTGATCCGTATGCTCACTGGGGAGCACTTCTAACTCCTTCTGGAGTGTGTCCTTTGTGCTGACCACCTGGCTAACTGTCCAGGGCGAGGGGCCCGGCTTCTGCCTACCTCGGCTCTGGACACGCCTTCCTCACTGAGCTCCACCATCTGTAGCTTGTGGTCTGAGGTCAGAGATGGGAAACCCTTCCTTTCGCTTGGACCCTAGAGGCGTCTGTAGGGTCATCACGTGGCCCAATTCCAGGGTGGCTGTGCCGCAGGAGGAGGGAGGTCCAAGGAAGGGGAGAGACGGGGGACGGGGTCGGGAGAGCGGCCAGAACACACACAGTTATCGATATTTGCCCTGACACGAACGCAGTTCCTGGCCCCCAAAACAATTACGATGGTGATGGCAAAGATCACGGTCACAGATCGCCGTAACAAATTACAAAGAAAAACCTTGTGGCATTGGATGGCTCAATTGGTTGAGCATCCAACTCTTGATTTCGGCTCAGGTCAGGATTCCAGGGGTATGGGAATGGGCTGAGCAGGGAGCTTGCTTGTAATTCTCTGTCTCCCTCCGCCCCTCTCCCCAACTCGTGCTCTAGCTCAAAAATAAAAAGATTAACATTAAAATAATAAGAAAATAAAAAGCTTGAAGTATTGTGAGAATGATGAAAACATGACAAAGACAGCAAGTGAGTGGACGCTGTTGGAAAAATGATGCCAATAAACTTGCTCAACACAGGACCACTGCCAACAACAATTTGCAGATGTTGTGCGCCCCAACACGAGGTGTGCCTGCATTAATGGGACGCCACACACATCAACACGTGCCAGCAGAGGCAAGCTGTGGATGGCCAGTCAGCGTGGCCACTGGGCAAGACAGGACGTGGGCTCTGTGCTCAGCTCACTGAGGGTCTGTGCCTCAGAGACTGTGTGTAATTGGCTGTATCCTGAATTTTAAAATCACACTTCTAAATATATATACCTCATAGCTGGCGCTTAACCAGAGAGATTCCTGAAAGACTTTTTTTAACGTTAATTTACATAACAGAAAATGAATGAGTGCATACGTCAGGGAGGGACGGAGAAGGGGAGAGAATCCCAAGCAGACTCTACAATGCCAGCACTGAGCCCAACGCGGGGCTCGATCCCACGAACCCTGGGACCATGACTTGAGCTGCATCCAAGAGTCAGACGCTCCACTGACTGAGCCGCCCGGACACGCCCAGCCAGATGCAGTATCATGTCCGTTTTCTGTCTGGCATCTCCCCACAGATCCTGCAAATAGACTGGGCAAAAGGGGCGCCAAATAAATGCTTTGCTGTAGGTGCTCCTGATGGTGGATCAGGCTGTCCATCTGCACGTGCACAACATGGTCCCTGGGAGATGAGGCGGGAGCAAATGGTGGGGGCCTCAGGGACTCCCCCACCCCCGCCAGGCCAATGAGCACAGACAGCCTCTTCCCCGAGGGGCTTCCGGGCACCGACACAGAACAAGACACAGGAGCAGCCAGAGGCATGCTGGGGCACACAGATGACAGATGGGACTGCACTGCCAGGGAAGGCTAGGGCCACCCAAGGGAGAAGCAAGGTGCCCCCAGGAAGTGCGGCAGAGGAGGTGCCCATGACGCCTCAGCCCCCACCCCTCCCAAGACGCTTCTTCTTGGCCCCGCTCTGGGTCAAAGCAGGGAAGGAATTCAGCCAGCCTCTCAGGAGAGCGACCTTGACTGTCTACACATCTGACCATTACCCTCTCAGCAGCCCTCTGGGGTGCGGGCAGGGCTGGCATACCAGCCACTGGGGGGATCTGAGGAGCCCCCCGCTTGCGGGTCACAGCAGGTAGGGACACACAGAGCAGTGAGCGCTGCTGCCCTGAGAAAAGAGGGGAAGGGTCTGTGTGCTCACAGCCGGGGACGAGGGCTAGGCTCGGCCACCACATGCGTGCCACTGGACAGAAGCGGAGCATGGGGAGCAGTCACAGCTGACTGCAGAGCTGCCTGCCTCCAGGAGGAGCTCGCTGACACACGTGTGACGTGGCGGAAGGATGCCTCCGCAGGAAGGAAGCTGGCTGGCCCTGTCCCCACCAAGGCACCTGCTCCCTGCCCAGGGGCGCCCGGTGACGACAGAGTCCCCGGGAAGGTGGACACCGTGTGAGTGAGCTGCCCACACAGTGCTGGCTTGCCCACACAGTGCTGGCTCAGGACGCAGCCATTCAAACCCTCCTGTGCAGGTCACCAAGCCAAGCATCTATCCCTGCACCTGAGCCCCAGACTCAGAGCTCAGGGTGCAAACCACACCCAGGAACTGCCCAGTCTTCCCTCGACTCCCCCTCGTCGTGGACTGAATGCTTAATCAGAGGCAGAGAGAAACACAAAGATGACGCAGCATGCGGTGCCATCAGAGCCCCGCCTGGGGAAGACATCCCAGGAAGGAAGCTGGGTGGGGGGGGTGCAGATAGGAAGGGCCAGATCCCTTCTCCTGGTTCCCCATGTCCCAGGAGTTCATCCACTGACAGCAGGCAACACCAGTAAAAGCCACAGGGACACAAACGGGCAGCTGTCCAGGGACCGCCCGCTGAGCGCTCCCCGCACCAGGCCTACCTTTCCATAGGGTGAGGGCCAGCAGCTGGTGCAGACGGGGGTGGCCCAGTTTCCCTGATCCTCCACTGGACCACTTCAGGGCTCGAGACACAAAGGCCACTCGCTCTGGGGAATTCGGGTCCATCAAACTGAAGAGCTTAGCCAGATTTTCTAAAACGACATGAACACAGACCCTTATCCAAGGAAACACACTACTGCTCAGTTCTCCACACGTCGCACCTTAGAGCTCACAAACAAGATTTCACCTCCAAAGCTGAGAAACGGTGTTTCGGTGTGTCCTCGTGCAACCCACCCGGGTCCCAGGGCCCCCCAGCTGACCTCTCGACTCAGCCTGTGTCCCAGGGCATGAGGGAGGACGGGCTATAGCAGGGAACTGGCCCACAGGAGGGGACACGGTGGGGTATAGAGGCCAGAAGCAGGCCCCCTCTGCCCCTCTGGCTGGGCAGCTCTGAAGGAGGACCTCCCTGCCACACATGTAGTGTGCGGTAGGCTGGTAAGCCAACGTCTGGGACAACAGGGAGGCCAGCGTCCATCAGAAAGAGAGAGAGAGATAGTGTGTGCGCGCGCGTATGTGTGTGCTGGGGTGTCACTACCCCACATGCACAGGTGCCTTGTGCACAGTGAGAAAGTCTCACCCAACAGGTCTGTGGCCACCTCGACTTCTGCCTTCTCCAGCGACTCCAGGACCAGCATGGACAAATCTGCAGCGCTGTTTTGCTACAAAACATAGAAGTGAATACGAATCATGGAAACAGCTCTGACTCGTTTTTAGAAGACTCGGCAAAGTCGGACAACTGCTCGGGTTTCCAGCAGGAAACGCATGGCAGGCGGACGCACAGAGCCCCCTCGGCGGGGCCACCTGGAGGCTGATCGCCGGCTGGCACAGCACCCTCACCGGGCATAAGCACACGTGCCCGGCCAGGGCCAGCGACAGGGATGGTCCACAGTCCTCCACCACGCCTCTCCCTGGACGCTCCTTTTCCAACCCACAGGCCCCAAGGAGAGTCGGGGACGGGCCCGCCGCGTACTTGGCCGTGGCTGAAGAACAGCAGGGCCCCCGAGCACATGAGCTCCCGCGCCTCCGTGTGCTTGCTCTGTGACATGTATCTGCAAGACAGAGAAAGAGCAAGGCCCCAGTTAGGTCCCGGCGCAGACACCCTCCAGTCTGACTCAGGCGCCCAGCCTAGCGGCTTAGAGAGTAAATTCTGAAAATACAACGTTTGCGTGGACACAGGAGCTCAATAAAGCAAACAATCTCGGCAGTCGCGCGCCAGCCTGTGTGTCCTGCCAGGAACAGAGTGGAGCTGTGCTGTTCCTGAGGCTGCTGCCTCACTGGGTGGTCACGGCACCTCGACCGCCATCCACTGCGTGCACAGAGTCCCTGCCATCAGCAACGCAGCCTTGGGGGACCGGCAGGCCCACACCCCACATCTGACAGCAGCGCAGGTGGGGGACCTTGACTGTGCCCAAGTGGGCCTGGAGCAGCTCAAGGGTTGCAGCAGAAAGAACCAGAAAAAGGCTGGATGACGTCCACCCCGGGCACAAGCCCTGCTCTGGTGGGAGGACCTGCCTGAGGGACAGGGTGACATAGTAGTGTCCACCGGAGAACCAAAGGTCAGAGCCACACTCGGGTCGGGACGGCGGGAGCTCCAGGAGGGAGATGCATCAGGGGAAAACCGACTTTCTCTGCGGTCCCCACTCCTCTACCCCACCACCCCACCCTGTCCTGCCTCGTTTTCTCATTTTGAACACATTTCTCAGTTTCCTGAACTGTAGAGAGATGAATGCACAGGGCGGCCAGAGCCTGGCAGGCAACGAAGCACAAACAACGGGATGAGGGTCCATCAGTGAGAGACGACATTCAGTGAAGCAGAGCTGAGCCCGAGAGAAAGTCAGCAGCAGTAGGAAGCTTCCCGAAGCCCAAAGCCTGCGCAGAGCTACTTCGTTGGCTGTGAGTTTATCTCCGTGATTATCAGAAAAGACAAAGAAACCATCAAGTCAGTGCCTCTTGGCCAAAACAAATCAGACAAAGATACCAAATGAGCAGCACGAGGTGCTCCTAAGGCAGGAAAATGGCAAACACAGAGGTCTGGGAGCCTGTCTGCAGCTCGCCCGGACCAACAGTTCAGGGGGCACCGTGAGTGCCTGGCTATTCAATTAACCAGAGGCATGGTCTTTTCTTCAACCAGGTTCCAAGACCAGAACCCCCAGGAGAACACAGCCCGCCCAGGTCAGCACAGAGAGGACCCATCAGCTCAGCGTGGGGTGGGGCCGGTGGCGAAGGACTGCTCATCACAGCCAGTCCTGCCAACAGCCGCCCTGCACACACGTGGGGCCAGCACTGCCATGGGCGGGCCCGGGAAGGAGAGTTTCCGACGCAGCAGCCCGTAGCCCCATGCTGCCACCGGCATGGACATTCTGAACTGCAGACACTTCTCAGTGACAATCCTGCCAGTGTGTCGCTGCTTATGCAAGATGGGACCGGGCTCCATACTCCTCCGTCTGACGAAGAGCAAGAGAGAAGTTCTAGGAACAGCTGATGACAAGAGAAACCCCCGGGCCCACAGGGCCTGCTTTCGAGCACTCGCGGCGTCCGGGGGAGTGGGCGACACAAGGGTTCCACAGTGCAGGGGACATCCCAGCACCTGACCAGCTTGGGGAGATGGCGTGTTTCAGATTAGGCAGAGCTGGGAAAATGGAAACAGTGAAAGGCAATCAGGAAAAAAACAAACGTGCTTCTTTGTGCAGAATCCAGGAGACAGGACGGGAGTCACTGTTGGGGTCCAAGGCCTCAGGGGGGCTGTGAAAACAGGCGGGGCCAGAACCCTCCGGCTCGGCACCGTCTCCACGCCTGAGCGTCAACACGTCACGCATGCACATGCCGCTGGGACGTGCACCCGGCTGGCACACCTGGCCTGGACGTGGCTCCCAGCAGCCACACCCACCTAGCACCGCCTCCGCGCTGTGGTCCCTGGGTTTTGCTCTTTCAGAAAACAAGCATGCAGAACCTAACAAAAATGTAATGCTACAGATAAAAGCCAGGGGTCAGACAGAGGCGGGTCAGGTGTCAGCTACCCAGCACCCCACACTGTGGCACTCAGGAGGGCTCAGCATGGCTGCAGGGTTACCCTGAGAATGCCACCCACCCCCCGGACCCCCAGCACAGCTGTTCCCTCTTTTAGGAAATGCTCCCTGTTTGCCTAGAGGTTGAAAAGAACCTGTTTTTTAAGTTTCTCTTTAAAAAATTCTCTTCATTTGACTTAAGAGGCAAAACAGCGACGCAAATCTCAGAACGGCCCCTGGGCAGGAAGACTGAAATCACGGGGACGCAGGCTGGCTGCAGAGGCACCCAGGGAGGTGACAGTGGAGGCACTGGGCCAAGGGGTCCTCTGGCGACCCGGCGAAGCGGCCATGGAAGCCACAGGGAGTGTGAAGAATGACTGAGTACCCAAAACACAACAGGCCTGGAAAACGCACTCCCTCCTTGTCCTGGAAGAGCTGTGAAGACACCAGGTGGCCATCCGCTGGCACCACAGCGGGTCAGAGCGTCCAGCGGATCCCCACGACGGCCCACGCCTGAGGGACGTGCACCAGGTAAGCATGACCCACAGGACTGCTCGATTCTGGGCCCCTGCGCCCTCAGCCGCCCTAAGGCACAACAATTAAAGGTGTAATTATCCAACGGATCTGACCCGGGACTGGCTAGCAGGCTGTGGCCCACCCCCACTACAGAGCACCACCCGGCGGAAGTGAATTAACGCCACAACGTGGTTAAGTCCTGATAAGGATGCTTCGTAAACACGAAAAGGGAGAAAAAGAGGATATGGTTCCCTTAGGTCACATTCTAGAAAATGCAAATTGGTCCACTGTGATGGTGGTGTGAGATCAGCAGCTGCGGGGGGGGAGGGGGGGGCGGGTGAGGGCTGCAGACAAAAAAACTCTGGCGGTGATGGATACTCCCAGTGTCCTGCCTGGTGACAGTTTCACGCGGGGACATGCCAAAACTCATCAGAGTGCACGTTTCACGTAAACACTTAGACACAAACATTTGTATTTCCTTACAGGAAGACCAAACCCGAAGAGAACTTGATGACCCTGACTTCCTCCAGAGCCACACGCCCAGAAGGGTTTCTAAACAGGTCTGTGTGGAGTGCACCCTGGCAGACGGGGCAGCTCCCAGCTATCTCCCTCAGGCCTTGTGGAAGGCCACAGAGGCCACCACTGACTTCGTCCCCAGGGAGGACAAGGGCAGATCATTTACTTTGCCCATCTCCCGAGAGGGGAAGGGACGCCCCAATGCCCCATGACGCAGCCAAGGCTGAGACAGGTTCAGCAAGATGTCGTGGGTCATCGGTCGCAGAGCAGACGTGAAATTCGAAGTAAGTCAAGGCTGGGCTGGGGGAGGGCATGCTTTCTGTCACCAACCCTGGCCACTCTGGGACACACTCCCTGTGCACAGACACTTGCCTCTTTATAGCTGTGACAACTCCTTCTTCACATGGCAGAAGTATCTCAAAACAAGAAACACTGTTTATTTTTGGGAAGATGCAGTTTTGCTGATTAATCACTGGGGAAATATTCACATACACACCCTGAGAATGGCAAGCACTGGGCACAGCCCCTGCCACGTGGACATCTGACCCCGAGGCTTAATGTCGCAAACTCCGATGTGTACTCACGGCTTTGGCTGACTTGTTGAAGAACAACCAACTCGCTCCTACCTGGTCCTTTAAGCCAAGAGACCACGCAGGGGGACGGGCAGTCCTGAGTACCTCCGAGTCCCCAAAACCTTGATCCAACTTGTTATTTAATTTAAAGAAAATACAATCATCTAGGCCGAAACGGTGAACAGGGCGGACTCTGGCAGTTGAGGGGGGGAAAAAAAGCACTTCACAGAACAGATTTAACCACCTAGAAAATGGTCTTTAAGGCATATCCGACTCGCAACGATCGGCCCCATAGTGTTCAGGCCCGAACCGTAGAGGAGAATAGGCAGAACTTAGCGGAATGTGTAAGAACCACCCAGAAATTACAGCAGCGGCCGTGTTACGGCACAACTACCGAACGAAAACGAACGCAGACCACGCGACCCCTGCCAAAACTCCAGGGCCGCACTGGAAAAGCTCATTTTGTCGAAAACAACCCGCAGCAGGCCGGCTTGCACGCGTGGTGAGCCCTGCGCGCCCCCGCGTCCCGCAGCCCGGCGCCTGGGACTCACCGCGGCGCCGGGGCCGCCGGCCCCGCAGGTGCAGCCCCAGCGCCGGGCTCACAGGCACGCTGGCCCAGCGCGCGGCTCAGGGGCCCCGGGGCAGAAGCACGCCTAACCCGGACGGCCGGGGGACGCAGACCCCGAGGCTCGGTCCCGGGGTTGCCGTGGCTGGGCGAGGCCCGCCCAGGGCCCCGAGAGTGGACATGTCGGACCAAGCTTGGGGCGGCCGGGCAGGGACAGGAGGAGGCCCGGCAGGCGAGGAGCCGGGTCGGGGCACGGGGGAGAGCCGAGCTCGGCGTCCTCAGTCCTCCGCCTCCCGGCAGCCTGCCTGCTCCGACCGCCGCGGCGACAGGCAGCGGCGCGGGCCAATGGGGGCGCGGGGCGGCGCGTCGCGGCCAATGGAAGGCGGCCGGGGGCGGGGCGCCAGGCTCGGCGGAAAGCCCTGGAAGGCGGCGGCCGCGGCGCAGCGGCTACCTGAAGAACAGGGTCCGGTACATCTGGTGCGCCTCATAGTAGTCACCCTTCTCAACGCTAGCGCGCAGCTTGCCCTCCACGCGCTGGACACCGCCGCGATTCCGGGCGCCGTTCCGGGCACTCTCCTGCTCGGCCATCGCCGCCGCCGCCATCGGGCCGGCGCTCCGCGAAGGGCTGACGCTGTCGCAGGCGCGGTCGGCAGCGCCTCTCGGCTTCCGTCCCGGCGGCCGTCCGACGCCCTCTACGGTGGCCCGCGAGGAGCCGCGCGCAGCTGGGAGGCGGGCACGCCGGCGGCGACCACGTGATCGCGGGGCGGGGCTGTGGAGCCTGCGGCGGGCGGCCACGTGACCGCTGGGCGGGGTCGCGCAGTCTGCGGTGGGCGGCCGCGGGGCGGGGCCGAGGCAGGCGCCCGCTGACACCACAATGGCGGCGGCACATGACGGCCGGGTACTTGGTCGCTGCGGCGCAGATACTGAGGCTGGGCGGCGTGGGGCTGGGGAGGGTGGCCTGAGGTGAAACAGCCACCAGTTCAGCAATCGTTGGGACGCAAAGATTCCTAAATAAGAGCTGTGTTTTCACGTTTTCGGCTGCGGGCCGCACAGGGGAGGTGAGGGTCCGATTTGATACGGGTTTGGGACCAAAGGAAGGTCGAAGTAGAGGTGACAAGTCATTGCTGAGGATGAGCAGTCGCCGGCTCACTTGGACGCGGAACCACCTGTTAATGCAGAGCTGCAAGTCTGGTGGGAGATGGGGACAAGTGCAGGACAGGGATGGGGACGGGACGGGGATGAGAACAGAGGATGTGTTCTGAGGACAGAGACAGGGAACGGGGACAGAGGTGGAGACTGTGGACAAGGATGGGGACAGTGGATGGGTTCTGGGGACAGGGACAAGGGAGGGACAAGGGGACGGGGACAGATGGTGGCTGTGAATGGGGATGAGGACAGTGGATGGGTTCTCGAGACAGGGACAGGATGGGGACAGAGATGGAGGCTGCGGACAGGGATGGAGACAGTGAATGGATTCTGGGGACAGGGACAGGGGAGGGTCAGGGAATGGGGACAGAGGTTGTGGCTGTGGATGGGGATGAGGACAGTAGATGGGTTCTGGCGACAGGGACTGGGGAGAGAGCACAACTTCATCCCCCCTAGGTCTCAGTGTCCACCAAGTCCAGACCCTCAAGGATCTTGATTGGAGCCCCTCCTGGTTTGTAACCCCTTGTTTGTATAGGGACAGCTCAACCAAAGGTCCATAGATGGCTAACGGGTAAGTCTTCCTCCCTCCATGCAAATGGGGGGGTGGGGGGAGAGCGGTTTTCTTTGCAGTTCAGTTCCTTTGTGATTGATCTCCACGGTATTTGTCACAATGGAAAAAAGGGCGGCAGGGAGGCACAGCCCCAAGAGTGGAGTCTGTCCTCATCTGTCCTGTGTAAACAACAGTGATACACACCCCTATTTTTGCTAGTGGGCATAGGTGTTTCCAGAAGGATAAAAACGGTGTGGGAACACTGGTTGCTCCTGAAAATCCAGAGTCAGGGAGACACAGGTGCAGCTTTCCCTCGGCTGTCCTGGCCTAAGGGCCCCTTCCAGGCAGAGGATGGCCTCAGGGCTCTGTCCCCTGTCCTGGCTCACTAGGGGTTCTCAGCCCAGTGCCTCACACACACAGTAGGCATTCGGGAAGTACTGACTGAATGAACCAGTCCCAGGTTAGACTTGAACTCGTGTCTAGCACCCCATCTTTAGCAACAGATGCCCTGATGATGCAAATGTCCCTTGGAGGGGACCCATCTCTTCTGATTTTCTCTTTGTCAAGCAACCCTATTTCCAATTCACTTTATCTCCCAAGGGGACTTCCCCACGGAGAGGTGCCCTGGGGGAGTCCTGGGGGGGTGGGGACCAGGTTGGCTGGGGGAGTCCTGGGGGGGTGGGGACCAGGTTGGCTGTGGGAGGAAAGGCCATGGGAACAGGCAGCAGAAAAAACTTGCAAATGTCATGCTCCCTCCCCCACAACCCAGGGGCAGGAACAGAGCACATTGAGAAAAGAAATAACACCGTTTGTTATTCATTTGAAACCTCACATGCACTTTTAAAAATTTAAACTCTTTATTTAAACATTTCAGTAGCATCTTATCAATTTGGCGGGCAGCAAAAGCAGCACTACCAAAGACAAGTGTTTTGAAAAGCATTTACAAAAATACCTCGCACAAAGTCCTATCTTGCATCTTTAAAAATAAATTAATATTCAAAATACTTCCACCCAACTCCCAAATTTAGTTTTATATAGGAAATTTTGATTATAGATTTATCCTGTAATATATGAAACATCTGTATACATTTTATCTGACCTAACTGCATAGGCATTAGTTAGTCCCAATTCTAAGAAAGAGTGAAAAAAAAATGCTACTTTGTGTAGTTTTTATGTATTTGAGGACTGTTGTGCAGTATACATAAAACTCTTCAGAAAACCAGTCAGCACCATCATTTTCTTTTTCTGAAAATACAGTATTTATGAGAACACCAAAAGAACGGTCTTAACCCAATAAAACTTAAATAATTTTTAAAACATCTGTAACACTTTAAGTGCCTTGCAGATATCTCATTTATAAAGTCTGCTCAGTAAAATAGTCTAAATATTAAATATGAACTATAAACAAAAGGAGTCTCAAGGAATTGAGAACGGCGACAGTCCTAGTAAGAGGCAAATCCCAGCTAGAAGCGGGAAGAAAGTGGCGCCGTGGGAAAAAGTATAATCACAAACGGATGGTTTCATGAATTTGCTACCCTGGACAGTCCCCTGGGGTAACTGTCATTGGTGGAGAGATTTTAGACTCGGAAAGACAGGGAGCAAGTTAGTGTTCTACTCTGCAGCAAAATTCAAACCCGACAAGGATGACACCCACAAGCCTGGGCGTTCTAGGTCCCGTGGAGACCGCTGCGCAGACTTGGGGACAGCTGCCATGGATGAGCCTCCTTGAGACCTGAGCTCCCCCTTTCACATGAGACCCCTTTCAGCCTATGAGTCCTAACTCAGGATCTTTCTCAGAAGTAGGAACAAACTAAGAAAAACACACCTTATAAATTTCCCCACCTGGTGTGGAGTAAAGGAAAAATCCTACCCTGGAGGAAAGGAGTTCACAACTGAAACTTGGTGATGTGGTTTTTCCCTGAAAGAAATGTGTGCTGGATTGAACAGGTGACATCGATCTGCCCCCAAAAGTCCTTGAGAAGGGCCAGTGAAAGGCTAAATATCAAAGCTTCAAATACTCTCACCTTTTAATTTCATTTGCTTTGTTCCTGATGTCAAGAAAATACAAATATCAAGAGCTTTATGTTCAAAAACAAATCCCCAAAACAACATATGTGTCTTTGTGACCCACACATTCAAATGAACTTCCACAGAGATCAGCTGTTGCGAGCGGACCTCGGTGAAGCTACGCGTTCGACATGCAGTGTTTTCTGTGGACAGACTGGCAAGCGGGGTGTCCACTTCCAGTGGCAGTCGGTAGCGTTTATTTAGGGGTGATGTTATCCTGTTACTCTCTGTGCCCTGGTTCGTGAAGGGGTCCAGTGTGTCAGGCTGTCCCAGTATATACAATATGTACAGGGACCAACGGCAGGGGTTTACTTGATGGGCTCTCCATGGACTCTGAACCGATAAAGACATGTGTATTCCGGATGGCCCCAGTTGGAGAAAATCCGAAGTTCCACTATTTGGAAAGCTCTGTCAGGTCTTTTCTGAAATCAAAAGGTGTGGAGGAAATCACAGTTATTCAGTCACACCCCAAGTCTTATCACTTTCCCAACTATGATATTTCAGACTAAGCAGTCAAGCTGGAAAATTAAGTTTTCTATGTGGACTAAGTCACGGACCCCAGGACACAAAGCTCAGGTAAACAGGAGTCCTGATGAGCCACAGAGTTACTTTCAGCTTCAGCAACACGACACATGCGTGTGGAGCAAAATACACACTACAAAGGCTCGTCTGGGCAGAGTTAAGAAGCTCAGATTTGCTTTCTCAGAGGTGGACGCCACCAGGCAGCTTTGCTAAGATCAGCCATGTCCTGCTGAGCCAAGAGACAGGCGAGTGCAGGTCGGGGCTCGGGAAGCCACGGGCCAAAGGTGAGCCGTGCACGTCCTTACCGGTGTGTGGAACATCTGGAGGGACTCCCCGTCCTGATCATACATGAACCGTCCCAGGAGCCGCCCTTCTTCCTGGTGTTCATTTTCTAATCCCTGAAACCAAAACCAGACAGTCATTAAATAATGGGAAAACAACACTGCACCAGTGAAGACTGCTTCCCTTCAACACAATCTGGGGAGATTAAAGCATTCCTAAGGCCTTCTCCAGAAGCCCTGTGAATTGCTGGGCATTATAGAACTATGCAGTTAAGGGCTTTGCACGATTCAAGGCCCATGAGGGAGGTCCTATTCCTCCCATACGTGGCAAGAGAAAACCAGAGCCAGAACCAGCAAGCTGGCAAGAGAGAAGTAACAGACCGCAGGGACCGCCTGGTTACTGTGTGGCCCATGCTGCTCCACGTGCCATGGTGGAGCCCTGGGCCACCTGAAGCACCTGGGACAGTGACACAGGTCAGCAGGCTGTGAACCTGCAGGCAGCTGGCTCGCACGGAGAGCAGAGGGTGCCAGGGGCTAGTGCGGAATGGGGACGGAGTCTCGGTTTGGGAAGATGAAGAGTTCTGGGAAGGATGGCTGGTGGTGGCACAGCTGCGTGAATGCGCCAAATCCGGCAAACTGCATGCGTAAAATGGCTAAGGGGGTAACTTTTATGGGTGCTTTGCCACATTAGGGAAGCAGGCAGTAGGAAATATAGGCGACCGTTGGAGTGTGTCAGAGCAAAAAGGACTTCCATACGAAACGTGGAAGCAGTGACAACGAGCAGAGGCAGCCACACTGGGAACTGGTTGTAAGAGGGATGTGTGACAAGCGTTTATAACTAGCAAAGCTCAGACATCCGTAAGGAAACTAAGATTCTCGTAAGATAAGCAAATAAAAACAAAATGAGTCTACAAAAAAAGGAAACGCACATGAAGGACGGAAACATAGGTGGCATCGGCTCTCTTCACCTGGAGGGTCAGCGGAGGTTAGGACCAGAGGGCTCAGTGAGGTAAAGCACTGGTAAGGCGCACGCTCATGCCCCTCTGCTCCCCAGGCTACTGGCTAAGGGTGGTGCCACCATGAGTGTCTAGTTTATAGGAAGAAGAGAGACCAACAGGTGTGGCCCCGTCCTCCAACGCAGAAGCTGTGGTGACAGCCGGACAACTGGAAAGTGCATTGGGGCTTCGCTACATCACAGTGTTTTACATATTTAAAGGTCTGTACAGACAGTTCATCACCATCATAAAATATGAGCTGTGCTGTCTTGACTCTGGTTTTTACAGGGAAAAAGGAGGACAAAGCAAAAAATGCCACGATATGAACAATGATTTCTCTGGGTGCCTGGATTCTGGGTTTTTTTTCCAACTTTCGTGTTGCGGGGGTGGGGGATGGGACACGGACACCAGGGCACAGACTCGTTTTGACAGCCTTTTCTGGGCTCAGCTGAGGGAGGTTCCCGAACTGGAGGAGGGGGAGAGCCGGGACCAGCCTCACTCACATAGACCGGCCTCACTCACATAGACCGCAAAGTCCTTGGGAGCGCTGGTGATGTTGCCCGTGGGTGACAGCGTCTTTGGTATGTGCTCCAGAGTGAAGGTGGTCGGACGGATCTCCATGGACAGCCTCACCACGAGGTACCCCTGGGAGCCCTTGAATGCCCAGCAGTTGCCTGGATAGATGTCAGGCTAGGAAAGAGACAAAAACTGCAAACTTTATACATTTGACCCTGGAATGGGATACTGACTGTCTGCCCAGTGAAAATCCGCATATAATTTCTGACTCCCCAGAACCTTAACTACTGATAGCCTACAGTTGGCCAGAAGGCTTACTGATAACATAAAGTCGATTAACACATGTTTTCTACATGTATGATATACTACATGCTTAGAATAAAATGAGCAAGAGAGAAGAAGTGCTACAGAGATGATGAGCAAGAGGGGGGCGCAGAAGTAGATCTGCACAGTTCAAACCCATGTCTTAAGAGTCACCTGGAGGTTGAACAAGCTCTTAAGAATGTATTTGACAATTTAAAACTCAACATACAGAAACAAGAGGAAACACTATTAATACTGAAGTAGAAAAAGATAAATTTTTACATAGTAAAAAGTCATCATAAGCAAAAGCAAAAGACAAACTGGGGAAAGGCATTCGCAACTTAAACTCCAGGGGGCGACCATCTCTAGTATATCAGTAAGTTTTATAAAAGTTAAGGTAACTAGCATCTTAAATGAAAATAGATGAGACAAAACACATTTTTTAAAAAGAAGTAAACTTAAACAGTCCCCAAACATAAGACAAGATGCTCTACCATACGTAGTAACAAGAGAAATACAAATTTAAATGACCAACAATAGTGCACGGGGTTGAAGCACTGGTCAGTGAACCAGGAGTTAAGAGCGTGCCCCCTTTAGGAAGTGAAAGCTGGCAATACCCAGCAGGTCTCCTTGGGGCACCTACCCTGTGACCCAGCAATCTCCTGCTGTCCCTAAGGTACACTGGCAAAATATAAAATGACAGAGGCACAGGTATTTTTGCGAGAGAAACCACCGTGCTTGTGATGGGAACCTAGCCATATATGTGCTGTGCTGACCAAAATGCACCGAGTGAATGAGGCAGGGGCCCTGGCATGCAGCCGCTTGTGATATGGAGCAGGAGGGAAAGGGGCAGGCACACGGTAACACCTGTGTTTGCTCATACTTGAATTTGGTTTTGGTTGATTCTCTGCTCCTGATTTAGGCATCATCTGTGCCTGCCCTGTGCAAATGGACTGGGTCCTCAAGGGTTAGGCTCTGTGCACAGAGGGTCCCCGGGACTTCCCTCTGGGAGTTTCTGACAGCAAAGGGCCTCTAGGGGTCCCCTCACTGGGAACGTCTTCTCCAGCACCCTGGAGGGTGGCACCATTCAGTGAGCCCTGGCTGTGCCCTCTATAAAAAGTCTGGGTCTGAGTCCCAGGTGGCTGGGGGACGCTCTCTTGGCTGCCCTGCCTTGGTCATGGAGGTCGGAGCAGTCTGTTCTCGGATTTGTTAAGGATTCTCTTTCCCTCTAAGTAGCCAAGCGCCTACTCCTCCAATCTCATTGCACACGGAGCCTCCCCATCCAGGTTCCTGAGTGGGCCCTCCTCACAAAGCACTCTCTTGCTCATGCATGCCTCACACTGGAAGTGCCACCAAATCCAGTAGGCGGGGCGGGCACAGCTGCCGTGGGCCAGTGTGGTACTGGGGCAACGGCAGGAACATCAAGGCCTCTCAGCTGCATGATGGCAAAGCGACCCTGTGGCCAAGGCAGCACCTGCCGGGGTCCCATGAGCTCCCGCACACCGGTGCAGGGGGAACGTGGCCATCTGCCACGTGCCTGGCGGTGTGCACCTGCTGTGGGGCCCACACCTGCCTGCAGCCATGGGTGCCCCGTCCTATGGACAGTTCCCACTAAAGAAATCAGTTGACCTTTCTTCCTGACAGTTGTTACCACAAGGCAGCATTTTAGGACCAATGGGAAACCAATGTACCAACAGTTTCAATTCTTCCTCTTGGGCCTCCGTGAGTGACTGAGTAAAACGGGGTGCACGGCAGCAGTGCGCGCTGAGGGCAGGCCGCGGACACCCCGACAGAGGCAGCCGGAAGTGCTGTGTGAGCTCAGGGCTCCCCCAGGCCCCCTGGGGCTCAGACCCAGGGAGGGGTCTTCCCCAAGGTGTGAGCGTGCCCGTGTCTCATGAGGGAAGGCCCTCGGCCGTGACCATGGCCACAGCAGCACACCTGCTCAGACTGTGGGGACGAACCAGTGCACCAAGGCACAGCGCATGACCGAAGCAAGGGGATCAGAGATATTGGAATGGTGCTGGGGGCTGTGCGCAGAGCCCCCATTGAGGGGGGGGGGCATGGCTGGCAGCTCACCTGGATCACGACACGCGGGGACTGGGAGAAGTACCAGAGCGGGATCCCAAACAGGCTGATGAGCGCCGTCTTGGTCTCGTACGTCTCAGAGCAGCGAGTACTGAGGATGCTGCCACCTGAAAGCAGAGTTTGAAGCTGCCTCAGCATCCACGCCGACCGCCGGGAGGGGGCTCTAGGCACCCAGTCCCCGTGGCAGGGGTGCCCATGGAGGTCTACAGGGTCTCCGGTTGCTCAAGCTCACAAAGAACCACCTACTTGACGCTAAGCCCCAGGCTAACTCTTATTTCTGCCAACTTGGGTGTTCAGAGCCCACGGCTGCTTTGGGGACAAGTGAGGACCCCCCTCTGCATTATGGGACTTGCAAGGAGCTTTTGTCCCTTTTTCTACACAAACAACAAGTCTGACAGGCACCAGAGATACCTGACAGGCGCGTCTGCTTTCAGAGGGGCTCTTGTCAACAGAGCACAGCGCAGGGACCAGCAGGATCAGCAGCTGCCCAGGGAACCGGGCACATCGGCTACCAGGGGCAGGTGTCCCTTGGGGTAACACAAGTATTCTAGAGCGAGACAGCAGTGACTGCTGCAAAACACAGCAACTGTGCTGGAGCCGCCACATCATAGCTTTTCAGAGGGTGAAGCTTAGGTTATGTGAATCATATCTCCGTTAAAAAGCAATGTTTTAAAAAAAAAAAAAAAAAAGGTCCAGGTTGCCCCTTGAGAGGAAACAGACAGAATGCTGGTGTCAAGGCACAAACTAAAAAATAATACAAATACAAATAAAAGCTCCTGAGAAGCTTGTACTCTAAGAGGCAGTGGCTCCCGAGTCTGACGTCCGTTGAACCCCTCGGAACACCTACACGCACATGTGGCCACTGGGCCCTGTATGAGGGCACCTCTTCTGGCTGCTGGGGGTAGACCTGGGCGGTGGGAGCTCAAACAAGAAGAGAAAGTGATTTTGACCTCACTGATCAACAGACTTGAATTTCCGAACCTTTGTATTATCTCTTTAAACCTCGTATTCTCACTGAAGACAAAAAGCATCCTTAAGTACAGACACTCTAATACAGAGTTGATACATGCCTTGGGTAGTGACAGAACCTGCAATTCAGCCTCATCAATATTACCAAAATTCCAAATTAATGACATATAAATCTGTAAGGACCAGTTATGCTTCTAAGTAAGTAATGACCCAGCTGAATGGTTAAAAGAGCATTTGATGTCTCAGAATTGAAAATGTTGTTTTCATAAATCACTGAATTTCAAAAATGTGTTCCTCACAACATTCTAAAAAAGTCATTCTCAAAATGCACACTGAGACCAGTGAACGGCCTTCCTGACCCCTGTCCACCATGGGAAGAGCGTAGTGGGCTGCACTCGTGACAGTGGCCCTGGGCCCGCTGCAGCACCGCTGCACAGACACAGACAGCGGGCGTCACGGCTCGGATCCCCTCGGCGGCTGGGTCAGGGTAAACCATATCACTGCTGTCCTGCAGGGCTCCCCGGCTACTGCGGACCAAGAGCCTCTGTTTCGGGGCACCTGGGTGGTGCAGTCGGGTGAGCGTCGGACTCTTGGCTTCTGGTTCAGGCCCCGGTCCCAGGGACTCAGCCCCTCGTCAGGCTCCGTGCTAGCTGTGAAGCCTAAGATTCTCTCCGTCCCTCTGCCCCTGGCCACAGGCACACACACACTTGCTCTAAAAAAGAACAAAAAAACCTTCTTTTCTCAAAGAGAAAATGTTGGTCCACTAACCCTTGGTCTGCAATTCCTAACTTTTAGAAACTCAGAAAACTATGATTTCCTCTGACACAGATGGTGGCCAAACCTTCCCCAAACAGACCTTACATCACCCTGAGTCTCCACCTGTCTTGTGTAGCAGACATTTGCCCATTTCTTCACAGAGACACTCTGTGCTTGATCCAGGGTGCTGTCCCAAACATCCCAAAATTCTTTTTTTTTTGAATTTAAGTTTTTAAAGTAAGCCTCATGCCCAGCATGGAGCCCAGCGCAGAGCTTGAACTCATGACCCTGACATCCAGAGTCACACGCTCCACCAACTGAGGCCACTGGGACCCCCACTGAACCGCACTTCTGTTTGTTCAGATACACCTGGGCCCTGGGCCTGTGCAGGAGAGCACGCAGCACTTGCCCGACCCAATGGACCGCAGTTTTCTCCTTTATTCCTCTGAGGAAGCAGGACAACTTCCCCATTGCTCTACTCATGCAGCGGCTATTCTCATGGTTACTTCCTGTCATCTGTGTCCCCCACGAGTGACAGCTCCCACAGGGCCGGGGCTGTTGGGGACCCAGGACAGTCCTTAGGTGCAGCAGGCATTTAAACCGCGCTCCCTGAGCACCCGAACCACATGTATTCACGTGACTGCATGCTCTCGGAAAGCATCTAAAAACCACTTTCCTGGTATCAATTACTGTACTTCACTGCTTAAGAGACATTTTGCAACACAAAAGATCATGAATAATCAAGCAGAATTTCTGTGGCGGTGCACTTGGACTTGGACGTGGCGGTACACTTGGATGTGACTAGAAAAATCCTACTCAAATGCCCCCATGTTGGGGCTTCGCTGATGCCAAATGTAACCTGGGCTCATGCCCACTGATGTGCAAGCACAGGCACCGGCCGTCTATGGGAGAACCTGGCCGCACTCTGAATCAAGGGCACTGGGACTACCTCGTTCTGGCACGTTCCAGACTGTGCAGAGACGGGACGAGTAGCCCGGCAACAGGTGACCCCAGTGTTCGGTTGACTCACCACCAGACTCCAGAGCGAAGTCCACCATGCCAGTCTTGTCCTGGGAATACAGCTTCAGGGCGTTGTTCACAATGACATGTGCTTGCTGGACAGAGAGGTACCGTGCATTAGTGGGGGCCGAGCCCCAGAAGAGAGGAGACAAGACTCAGGTGTCAGTGAAGAAATGAAGGACCCCCCATCTCTATTGGAAGGCGTTTTCAGTTAAGTGTATGGGAGTTAACAGGCACGGGCCATGTCAGCCCCATGCCCGACCACAGAGGCCGCTATGTGGACAGGGGAGGGCGCTGTCCTCGACCCAGGGCTCCCACACAGTCACAGAGGTAGCCATGCCAGAGAACCTGTGGGTGCCACAGAAACTTGTGTGATTTTGCGGGGTGGGTGGGACATCCATGACGGAAACTCACTCACGTGCCCAGGCCCCTGGGGAGCTGCTGACAGGCAGCCACAGCAGCCACGGCGCCCTGAGCTGGCACCCTCCCCGCACCCCAGGCCACGCCGTGTGCCTCTGCGATGGCAGCCACATCCCTGTGGGACCTTCGTTGGGTGAGAGCTCAAAATCTGCCAGCTGGGAAGCTAGGTCGGAGTCCTACCACAGTGCACACCTCAGCCGCTCCTGCTGCCTACTTACCGCTTCTGTTATTCCAGAAACCCCGGCCTCACGCACAGCAGACAGCACGGTTTCCGAATCGGGGCCATGCTTTGTCACGGAAACGTAGTGGGTAACATTCTTCAGGATCTGCAGCTCCAAATCCCGCAACAGAACCTGCAGGTCATCCTTGCTTATGAACCGAGAAGAGAGCTTCTGTAGCAGCCATTCAAGAGCACCATCTTGCTCGTCAGAGAACATGAGTTTGACGGTTTCTCTGACTTGGGCGTCTACCTGGTAAAGTCATTAATAAGCAGAACATGAATTTGGTGTTTTAACTCAACCATTTCAATGCTTCACTTCCATCACCTTAACACCTCAAAGGGATCACCAACCTCCAAAACGCGTAACCTAAATGTGACAACTTTCTCCCTTCATGTTAACTTTGAGCAGCTCTCCAAAGTGCTGGAATACATTACACAGAATAGGAGAAGAAAAGAGAGTGGCCCAAGTGCTGTGTGCTCCCAGAGAGCTGAGGGAAGAGAGGCTCCCTCCACTGGCTGCCCTGCATGTGCCCCTCAGCAGGCACTTGCTGAGGGGGTGACCCATGGGTTGGGTCCACAGAGGAAGGAGCCCCAGACCTGCAAACTCAGTGCAGTAAGGAAGCAGTCATGTAAACGACGTGCGTGTGACCTTGCCGATGCCAGAAATGGCCTGTGCCCTCTCCCTCCCCACCCCCCGGTTTCATAATGAACAGAATGTGGACAGATGCCCAGGAGAGGGCACAGAACCCCACAGCAACGCAGGGAGACCTGCCCAGCCACTGGCACTACGGACACCCTGCTCCCCGGTCATAGATGGGCCGTTGCCTCCAGCCCCGCGGGCCCTCTCGCACTAACTCTGCAACCCGCAGCACAGCCTCCTGGTGTCTGCCTGCCCATTGCTCTCACTGCTGTGGGGGTCCTCCAGGGAGTGTGGCTGCCAGGTTCAGAGAGTCTGCATCTGCACCCCAAGATCTTCCCCCACCCGTCAGCCACAAGGAAGCCTGCTTCCCAGAGCCAGGCTGTCCTCCACCACCTTGCCGATCTGAGGGCTAGAGAACAGGTGTTCACTTTCATTTGCAAACCCGAGGAGTGGAAGCGAGGGGCCTGCTCACATGCTGGGTCACATTCCCACAATGTTAGGGGCTCCTTGAAGAGTGGAGATCATTTCATCATCTGTACTGTAAATACTTTTTCCCAATCTATTGTCCAAGTCTGACTTATAGCTTTTACCATTCAAATGTTTTTTGTTTCCATTTTTATGCAGCACAAATGTCTGGACTTCCTCTTCAACATAAAGATACCAGAGCCCAAAACAGCATGGGGCTATGTGACAACAGGAAGCGAAGCTTCAGAGTGCAGCATGAATCTATGCCGGTGACAACACGTACAAAATAGCCAGCCCCCAAACCACGTCCACACGTGGCCATCTGCACATCAAGTATGGCAAGATGCATGCCGGAGTGCTGATGTGCCGGAGAGGACTCTGGGAGGGTTGAACGCTAACTATTTTGTGTGAAATGCTATTTCATATGTTTAAAACTTCTCAAGTAGGGAAGCTCAGTCAGTCAGGCCTCCAATACTTGATTTCGGCTCAGACTGTGATTTCTCGGTTTGTGGGACCAAGCCCTGCGTCAGGCTCTGTGCTGACAGCTTGGGATCCTCTCTCTCTCTCTGCCCCTCCCCTGCACACTCTCAAAACAAATAAGTAAATAAAAAACATCAGATATAATAAAAGTTCTAAAACAAAGTTGAAATTAATAAAAATGAAGATTTAACTAAAACATTTACTTTCTACGATAAAACATTTTACGACTTGCCTTTCCGTGTATCGTGCTGACCTCCTCACAGCTGGTTTTCAAATGCTGCCAACCAGACAGTTCTGACCGCAGACGACCCAGCTCCAGCTCCAGGTGCTTCACCACAGAAAGGAGGTGCTGCTCTTCCTCAAGTCCGCTGGAAAATCAGGGGAGGAGGAGAGAAGTCAGGCGTCTCCAGTCGCACATACTTAAAGTAAACGCATGCAATAAACATGTGGAGGAGGGGACCAGGACCCCGCAGACAAGTCAATAGTGACCCGTCCCACCTTAGCATGGAAACTGTTCAGGTCAAATCAGTTTCAAGTCAAGTCCCAAAGAGACCTTTTCCCACACCAGTGCCTGCACACGAATGCACAAATATGCCGTGGTGTTGAGGTAAGATGTCTAACACACGCTACTACCAGGGGCTCGCTTTCAGTAGTAGGAATAAGCACTCAAAACTATTTCATATTTAAAACCCACATCTTTTTTTTTAAATAGTTTATTGTCAAGTTGGTTTCCAGACAACACCCAGTGCTCATCCCCACAAGTGCCCTCCTCCATGCCCTTCAACCCCCCCTTCCCCTCTCCCCCATACCCATCAGCCCTCAGTTTGTTCTCAACATTCTAGAGTCTCTCATGGTTTACTTCCCTCCGTCTCCCCTCATTTCCCCCCTTCTTCTCCCCCACAGTCCTCCATTAAGTTCCTCCTAATCCTCCTATATGTGCAAACATATGGTATCTGTCCTTCTCTGCCTGACTTATTTCACTCAGCATAACACCCTCAAGATCCATCCATGTTGCTACACATGGCCAGATTTCATTCTTTCTCATTGCCATGTAGTATTCCATCGTATAGATAAACCACATCTTTTTGATCCATTCATCAGTTGATGGACACTTAGGCTCTTTCCATGTTTTGGCTATTGTTGAGAGTGCTGCTATGAACATTGGGGTACATGTGCCCCTAAGCATCAGCACTCCTGTATCCCTTGGATAAATTCCCAGCAGTGCTATTGCGGGGTCATAGGGGAGTTCTATTGTTAATTTTTTGAGGAACCTCCACACTGTTTTCCAGAGGGGCTGCACCAGGTTACATTCCTACCAACAGTGTAGGAGGGTGCCCGTTTCTCCACAACCTCGCCAGCATCTAGAGTCCTCTGATTTGCTCATTTTAGCCACTCTGACCAGCGTGAGGTGTAAAACCCACATCTTAAAAAAGAATAAATAGGGGCGCCTGGGTGGCTCAGTTAAGTGTCAGACTCTGCTCAGGTCATGATCTCATGGTCCGCGAGTTCGAGCCCCATGTCGGGCTCTGTACTGACAGCTCAGAACCTGGAGGCTGCTTCAGATTCTGTGCCTCCCTCTCTTTCTGCCCCTCCCCTGCTCACAAGCATGTGCTCTCTCTCAAAATAATAAAAATAAAACCTGTATCTCTTTTTAAAAACTATAAAAAAGACATCAGAAAAGAGATAAATTCAGTAATGTTGAATATGAAATTTTCATGCTACTGGAACAGATGACTGAAGTGAAAAATGTAGGACTTCAGAGTTTTTCTTAATAATTCCTATTTTTACGTAGGAATTGTACATTATGATGCAAAATGTTGCGGTATTTTATTTGTTGGGGTGGGGGGAGGTGGCTGGTGAGCTGCCAATGTTGCGTGTCTCCAGACAGCAGAGTCCAGGAAACCCATTTTAGCATCCACATATCGGCACGGCAACACACCCTCTTATGGAAACACAGGCTCTGAGAGGGAAGTAAGATGTGCTGTTGTTAACACTCATATCCGTCCCGATGGGAGGATATATGGGGTCTAAAACAGTGATACAGGATGTATAAATGTACGAAGTTAAAGCTCATCGTCCGGTCCCCCGCGTGGAGCCGCAGGAATGACCGAGTGACAGAAGGGCACAGGTGTCACATCTAAACACACCAATGGGGGGCTGTGCATAGGACCATGGAGATAAAATCAGAGTGTGTAGAAAATGAGACGCAGCTTTGAGTGTGTCAAGGGAAGGGAACCCGCACAGTTCTAGGATTCGGGGGAACTTAAGAAGGTGCCGGAGAAAAGGCCGGGGCAGTGAGGACCCGAACGGCACACCCCCAGGGAACCGCTTGGTGACAGGGCTGTTTAGGAGCCAAAACACTGCCCAGAGGTGGCACAGAGCCCCCATCCCGCACGTGAGAAGGCCCCATACAAACGGGAGGTCCTGGAGGGCAGGGGTCTGGCCCGCGTTGAGAGGCTGCTAAGGTGGTGAGAGTCCAGGCTGGGAGGCCCACCTCCTACCAAGGCCCAGCATCAACCACGCCCCAAGGGTGGCAGGGAGCCTCTCCATCCTCGGGTGCCTCCAAGGATCGCCGGCAAAGACGCCACTGGGAATGTGTTCACCCACAAAGCCCAGTAACCAGAGGTGCACACAGTGCCCTGCTAAATGAGTGCTATGTTCCACATAACAAGGAAACACAGAAAGCAAAATATGAATTTATTCAAAATTATCCTACCTTGCTGTTCTCAGCTTGGTCTGTTCTAATTCCTTCTGGATGGCCTAAAAAGTAGGAGAAAGAATCTGTTTAAACACAAGAGTTACACACTACCATGTCACAGATCATACCCCTGCTTAACCATGTACCTCCGTAGGGAACTACATACATTGACCTGTGGGTTTCCCCCCTTGGTTCCAAGCCCACGCCGCCTGCTGGCTGGCAGGCGAGGGGTGTTTATTTTCAGGTGTCGATAGAAAACTATTGACAGACCTGCAACGTGCATTCAGAGAGTGTTGCGCCCTCACTGGGAACAGCCTGATGCACGGTCCACACAGGCAGCTCCTGTACCCAGCACCCAGGCCAAGAAGCCAAACACTGCTACCACCTCCAGCAAGTCCTTTCTGAATGTGGCAGGACGAGGAAATGACAAATTCGCACACGAAGATGTGACTGTGAACATGCTCTATCCAGAGACACAGGTGCTCACGAGGCCACGGCGAGCCAAGAACTGTGCCTCCTCAAAGTGTAACTGAACACAGGTGGGAGTCCTCACGCGCAAAATGAAGGCCGTCCCTGCCCTCCTGCTTCCTTCTCCGGCTGCCCCCCCACCCTCAGTGCCGCAGAGACTGTGGTCAGCAGGTTCCCTGGGCAGGATCACGGCAGCTGCCCCACGGCCCCACACTGGACCCGAGGTGCCTGATGACCCCAAATCTGAGTGCCCTGTGGTCTCAGTGGCTCAGATCAGAGCCAGCATTGTGGCCTCCCCCCTCTGCCTTCCGCGATACCTAACAGTAACAGCTTTTCCACCAGAAAACTAATCTTGTCAAAGTGGGGGGCCTGTGGGACATCGAGGAGAGGGAGGGGCCCTGGAACCTGGGGGGCCACAGCTCGGTTCCCCCGGCTGCCGCTTGGGCTCAGGTCCCCTCATGCGCCTTGGAGTCCAGGGGGCAGACACACCTACGAAGCACTGACGCGGTAAAGGGGAACTATGAGGAGCAGGCGATTTTTCAGTTTTACAAAGGACAATAACAAGTCCCCAAAAGAGGCACATTAAAGGCCGAGGAATGTGACGACGTGGGCCCGTCGCGAGGGTCTCTCACTGCTGAGGCCACGAGTAAAAGGTTGAGAACGCATACCTCAGATTTTTCTGTCAGCTTTCCAAGAACGTCCTCTAGGTGTGAGAGGCGTGATTCGTGCTCTCGGCGAAAGGTCGTGGAGTCGCTCTTGGAGAAAATTAGAAAGGAACACGAGTGAGCAGGTGGAAAAGGGTGTTGAGCAGCAAACACCTGGCAGTCGTATCTGTCCAGAATGCCAAACACTTGAGGGCACCCTGTCACAGCCTGGCCAGGCATCCTGGGGCCCCTCCAGGTCCTCACCTCCACCCCAAACCCCAGATCGCACACGCCGGTGCTCAACACGCTCCCGCTTCTCCAGATGCGAGCAAACACGTGGACACAGGTGACTTCCAGGGGACACCCACGTGGAGGGCCCCCACCATGTGAGCTGCCCCCTGGGTGCACGACACATGGGCATCCCCCGACGCCCTGCAACGGCCTGCAGCAGAGCGCACCGGGTGACAAAAGTGACAAAGTGCTGTGCACACAAGTTCCTCTCCCTGCTTGCAGGACAGGACACTGACAGTCGCATCACATGAGAAAATTTTTCCAGCACAGGTGAACCGTGGAAAAAATGCAGTCTGTTCAACCTCTTCCCACCAATTTGGTCAGCAATTCTTGGAAAGTAAAGCTCCACAAAAACCATCAGCTATGCTCTCTGGCAAAAGCTAGAAAATTCGCTGCCTACTGTCTAACTGGATGGCAGGGACAGGCATCGTGTCCCCTGAGTGACTACGACCCAGGCCAGAAGACACAGAAACAGAAAGGGATATGATACTTTCATCATTGGAAGTTCCATTTGTTAATTATACCCCATCTCTTCCAAATTATAACCACAATGAGATATAAAAATTCACATAAAAATAAGATTAAAGTAGAACAAAGGGATGCAGGCCACAGGGCAAGATGAACCCAGGTCACTGACCCACATGGAGCTGTGGGCTCCTCGCCGCCACGCTGGGCATCATCTTTGCCCGCCACCTAACAGGACCAGGCCATGATGAAAGGGGCCCCCTGTGCATGCCACCGGGCACCTGAATGTGGCCGGTGCGACAAAGACCTGACTCTGTATCACCACAGGCAGGTGGGGGCAAGACTGATGGTACGGACGCGACACACACACACACACACACACACACACACACACACACACACCCCAAGTATCAGGTGACCAAGACAGTGACACGAGTGTGGGCCACTTCCCTGTCAGCCTAGGACCCTGTCCTGCATTGCAACCAGCGTCGTGATCACACTGCACCCAGGTCAGGGCTGGAAACCAGGTAAGAAAAACTGATGAAACCTGTACGTAAGCTAATCTAATTTAGAGCATGAATTTAATAAAATGAGCCCAGAATGCATAAAATGTGATAATTTATAGAACACTAGACAAATTGGTTCTTGGGTTTGTGTGTTTGGTTTTTTATCTGTTTCTTTTCTCCACAAGAGAAGGAACTAAACCATAACTAAAAGAGCTCAATAGGAGCTCAGGTCCTTTCACCCCTGCAGCGGTGACAGCATTTCAGGCTGCCTCAGCCAGGAAATGCTCAAGATCAACACGCTACCTGATGTGATTCTGCTCACCCAGCAAATGTGCTGCCCACAGGGACAGATTTCACAACCCGCCACCTAGAATGGTCCAGCTGTTTTGTTTCAAACCAGCATCTGTCTTGAGATGGATGCACTTCAACCCTTCCCACTATTCCTGTCCTGTCTGCAAAAAGCTGGCCAAGTTCCCATTTACTTTTTCCATCTACATTAGCCGGCCAGGACAGACCAGCCCTAACTGAACCAGCGGGCCTGACCCAAGTCCTCCCAATTTTACAGTTGAGAAACTGAAAATGAGCAACAACTGAGGACGCCAAGTGCGCCTAGAGCAGGAATGAACACTCCAAGCATGGCAAGTGGGGGGCAAATGGGGAGCCAACTGGGGGGGGATGCTGGGGTATAAGCAGGGATGCAAGAGGGGGTACAAGCAGGGGTACAAGTGGGAGGACAAGCAGGGGGACAAGCGGGGGCCGTGCAGAGAAGCCACTGTGCCGTCACCTCTGCATCCTCCCACACTAGCAACGCATTACAATGACAACCAGTGACGTGACTCAGGCCAAATCCGAGTCAAGACAAGGGCCATTCACTCCACTAACACTCACTGCGGTCCCCATCGGGTGTGAGAACACAGTGACTCGAATGGTGGGTGGGGAAGGTGGTGGTCGGGGCGATCGGGCGAGGCAAATGGGGTGGGCAGTGGTCCGCCCGAGGCCAAGTCCAGGTGGGGGACCAGGCTCTGCATAGGGCCTTGGGGGTCCCCAGCTTGGAGGCCGAGCGCACCAGGGAGGGAGCAGAGATAGCTGTGTGAAGAGGGGGCTCTTTGCTGAGACAGGGGACATTAGGGAGAAGTAGGTCGTTGGGGCCAGGGGCAACCCAGATTTGAATGATTTCAACCCAAAGAATCTAAACACTGAATAAATATTCATGTTAGATCTTAAGAAAAGAAACATCCATTCTGGGGAACCTGGACTGACTGTTCTGTCCTTGAGAAGAATAGCAAACAAACACAGCGTTTTTCTTAAGGGTTCCACGCGGAGGAGAGCTCCTCCTAATCACTGCGTGACCATGAGAGTATTTAGATCACAGACCAGTATGTTTCAAATCAGTATTGACAGGAAGTGCAAAGCAAATCCCAGCTGCAGTGAAACTTCACCGAATTACGACGTTCAATCCATTTTCAGATTAAAACGCAGGCCAGGAGCCAACTGCAGAGCAGGGGACCCAGAGCATGCCTCCCAGAGCGAAAGACCCTACTGCGGCACCTGGTCACGGGGCAGAGCGCGGCTCCCGGCCACCAAGAGGCTCAGCCGGCTGTCACCTCCGCGCCCCTCCCTCTCCTCATCCCCACCAAGAGAAGAGACCCCAGTCGAGTCCTGAGCATCACCTGGGGGCCCGGCAGTGCGCCAGCACGCACGTCCTCTAGGTGCTGCCCTAGCACGCTTCTGACCCGGGACAGCGTCCCCTGGCCGTCGCCATCCAGCTGGTCTACCCGTGCCTGCAGTTTCTGAAGCAAAGCTGCCAGTCCTTGGAGCTTCTCGTCGTGGCCGTGACATTGTCCAGACAAGGAGGCCACCTGCCTCTCCACCCAACTCATCGGATGTCGGGGGAAAGCCTCGTCGCCACCCTACAGCAGGACAGCAAGTTGCAACCACAACACACATGGAAAATTACGTCTGGTGTCAAATAATCTTACAACACTAGCCACTGCAGCGAAAGGTCCCCTAAACGCTATGAACACACATGACGATGGTCGTCATCGGGGATCTTCCCCACGTGGCAGATATGGGGGTTGCATTTTCTTCTTCATGTACTCTGTGTTCCCCAAAGTAGGGAACACTATTTTTTTACGTTAAAATTAACTGAATGAGATTTCTTAAATAAGCATCACCAGAACTACATCAGAGCATTTAAGGATCAAGTGTTAAGGCTTGCTTCTTTGATGCTTCAATACATTTTCTACAACAGGGTGCCTGTTCCCTATAGTATGAAAATCCACCCTGAGGAGTACAGACGGGGAAGCCGGAGAGGGGGGCATCTAGGTGGCTACCTCTGGCGGCCGGCTCAGGTGAGGCGCATCAGGTGTGAACGTGCCCTTGGGACCGTCCACCCTCTGGGTTCCATGTGCGTGTGTCCAGTTGAGCACAGGAAAGCCTGACAGGAAGTCACCCTGGCCCCACAGGGACAGACCTGCACCTGGAAGAGGACACGGACCAGCTGCACGTGTGTATAGACAGTGCTCTGCAAAACGTGCACTGAGATGCTCAGTTCTCTCCCTCATGTTCACCTTTACATGTATATATTAACCGTCTAAGGTAAGTGGGTGGAATTCTACTTACCTAGTAAAAGTAATAATGGAATGAACAAGATTAAAAACTTGCAAATGTTTCGAAGGCACCTAGGAATAAAAAGGAAAATATTAATTCGGGAAAAAGAAAAGGCAGGGTCACCATTCCATTTTTACTGCTCTGCATAATTTTATACCAAATAACCCCACCTTTTTCTCAAAATGACAGTTGACAGTATTAGAAATGCAGTTACACTTGTTTGCTTGTTTGGTTGCAAAGTGGGCTCCGTGTCTAAGTGGGGCTTGGACACTTGACCCTGATCTCAAGGATCGCACGCTCCCTGACTGAGCCAGCCAGGTACCCCACAAAATAAATTCTTTAAAAACACCAAGCTGAGGAGCACCCAGGTGGCTCAGTAGGTTAAGTGTCTGACTCCTGACTTTGGCTCAGGTCATGATCTCATGGTTCATGAATTTGAGCCCCGCATCTGGCTCTGCACTAACAGCCTAGAGTCTGCTTGGGATTCTCTCTCCCTCTCTTGCTGCCCTTCTCCCCCTTGCTGTCTGTCTCTAAATGAATGAATGAATGTTAAAAAAAACAAAAAACACTGAGTTGACAGGATACCAGTTTCCTTACCTTGTAAGAAGAAACACATTCAGCCAAGAAATCAAAGTAACAAACTGGTACCATCCAATGCCTAGCCACCAGAATATTCCAGAGGCTGCCTTCCCTAAAAGAGAAAACACCAAACATTCTAAAGAAATGCTCTTCGGGAAATCAAATTCCTAAATAGACAGTTTTTGTGAAGGCCAAAAGAGAAGCACAAAGAAACTTAACAAACGTCATGAAAGTATGTTAAGATGAAGTAGGGATGATGCATATAAAGATGGCAATTATCACAGCAGGAATATCCGTACAGTCAAACACAGGGACATCAGTAAGCACAAAGCAGTATCTAACGTGGACAGATACACGAAACCAGATAAAAAGGGGAACCCCCAAGTTCATGCATTCTCAATTACAGTTACATCAAGCAGCTAGACTTACACAGGACACAACAGAGAGGAGAAACACAGATGCTCAGGCACCCAGAGGCACAGTGTGTTAACACGTCTGAGTAATGAAGAACAAAACACGTTACATCAAGTATCAAAGCATGTAACCCGAAAATGAAACTCATTGGTCAGGTACAGCATTTCTTACAGGGGCCTAACTGCCCACAGCCCTGGAGGGAGCTAACACAGAGCCAGAATAGCCACCTGGAGCAGCCACGGCCAGCCAGAGAAGCGATAACAGTGTCTTCGACACAAACCATCCAGAAGCTCCGATCCTTTGCAGCATCTGTACCAAGAGGTGACCTGTGATAGACAAGATGTGTGCAAGAGGGACACACTCAAAACTCAAACCGCAAAACCAGCTCTCCATAGTTACAGTACAAGAAATCCCCACTAGGATCCATTTTACCAAAATTCTCTCAAATCAGTTACATCAAGAGTCTTTCTAAAGGAGAAAAAAACAGCTATTTAAAGTCCAAGCGAGATTCTGAGACTCCCTTATGAAAGGGGGCTACATTCAAGTCCTCCTAACGCAGGCAATGCGGACTCCCCTGGAGGAAGCCCCGTGGGCGGTGGGTGGCCCCCCCCAGGCCCACCGCGTGCTAACAGATCTGCCGATAGTCTGTAGCCACTAGGTGAGGCTTCAGTGACCCCAAACACCACACAGGTGGGTCTTCACTTGATCATCCTAAAAGCTAACACTTTCTAGTGACATTTCTAGGATTTTGAAATTACCAACTGCAGTACCACTGGATGATAGTAAGACGATAAACTTTGGTTATCAAACATTACACGTTACATAAGGCAGAAAAACTGCTGAAAGTTATATACGCGTTTGCGTGTTGACTCCTGACACTATTAATTCCAACATTCCTGATATGAAAAGAAATATCGTTTAACAGGAATTTTTAATCTATCACTTTATGCTTTATTAAGAGTTAAAAGACTATTGCTTTTGAAGCTTAGCTTAAGAAACAAAAAAGCTGTCTAAAAAAGGTGCCCCTTTAGCAAGAGACTTACAGGTGTAAGTTAGAAAACATCTAATTTTGCATGTACTCCTCCATGTCGCAAAGGCTCAGGACACAGCAGTCACAGGGACGATGCGACAGGGTGTGGGGCAAGCATAAACTCCACCCCGGGAGGGTAACCAGCCTCTGTACACCTTTCATTTCGCCCCAAGTAAGTCACTTCTCATACATTTAACTTACACTGGGTACATTACAAAGGAGCTTTTGAGAGAGACACACTGTATTTTAAAGTCAGGACTATTCCTGTCAGTTTTTACAACACAACAAACAAGGAGCCACAGCATTTGTGAAGAACACAGTAAGAACAAAACAAGAAGGTGTGAGAGACAACCTGCATAAGAAAAGATGTGCCAAATGGCCCCTGCCACCCTTTCTGGCCTTGAGGACCGCGCGCTGGTGTCTGTGTGCGTCTCAAGGAGCTTCCTTCCCTTACAGTCATCGCCTGTGGGTGGTGGTGACAAGCAGTTAATGTGACAGATTGCCATGCAGACCTGGTCACTCTCAACTGTGTATGACAATGGCAGTTTGAAAAAATTAGGAAACTCAATTATGCAGAAAAACACATATGTTTATATCAAAGCAAATGCAATCTGGGGGCTGCTGGCGCCTCTTATGGCGAGGACCGCATGCCCAGGGGACCGTCCGGGTCTCACGCTGCCACTGTGGCAGCCACTGCTGACGCCCAGCGTCCCCACGCGCGGCGAAGCCATACTTACACAGGGACTCCCCATTTACACTGAGGCGGCCGTCCTCTCTGAGAAGCCCTCCTACATCCACTGTCCCATAGTGACTGGAATGAGCTGCAATACACGCAAAAGAGGCTCAGAGACGCTCGTGGAGGCTGAGCTCACACGCTTCCAAGGCGCTGACGGAGGCCACACGGCCAGAGCGCACGCGAGGCCAAGGCCAGTGGCTGCACGGTGGCCGATGGCTCAGGTGCACAGGCGAGGCAGGCGACAGGCTATGCCAGGGACAGGTTTTGAGGCCCCCACCTGGCTGAGCAACACACCCACAGCCAACGCAGAGACAGGCCTCCGTAAAACTGGACTGAGAACCACATTCTAAATGCCATTCCAATAAATGATTTCTGCCGTAAAAAGGGAAGAAGAATCAAAGGTTGAGTACATTAACTTCTTAAAAAGTGACTTTTTAAAAAGTCACTTTCAGAAAACGGAACCAAAGCAGCACGTTAGAAAGTTCCATATGCCCCTTATAGGAAGACCCAGAGCACCATGAGAAAGTGCGCAGTAAAGGCACGAGAGGAAAAACAGGGATGAAGCGCCACGCAGGAAGAGCGGTGTGTTCTCCACCTTGAAAGCATTATTATGTGGAAAAGGAGGAAAAAAATTATTTAAATACCTTTTGATTCATGGCTTTTTGACTTATAGCTTTTTGATTCGCGATCTTTTGATTCGTAACTTTTCAATTTGTAATTTCCTGATTCATAATTGAGCTTCATTAAAACCACTCGAAAAAGGTGGACTAAGAATGACGACAAGGATGACGAAGTGTCCTTGGCCAGCCACAAAATCCTATCCAGGTGAAAAGAGGCACCGCCTATTGAAAAACCGTGAACATAGTTATTTCTTCCCACAAAGCCGACATCTACTCCCTTCAGAAGTCAGGGAGCCAAGTTATTCACTCGGGGTGGAGCAGAACCAGCTTTTCAAATGTACATCAGGGACAGCTTGAGAAAAGCTGTCACAGCAAATGTCACTCTGCCTCGTGTGGTACGTGTTGCCTCCTGACAGATGGAGCGACATGGCAAACCCGTAGAGACCAGCCCAATGCCAGAGCCCTGTCCCAGGCGAGCCTCCACAAAACAGCCAGTCTGAGGAAACCGCACCCCAGCTCTGCTGACCTACACCCCCAAGTCTAGATACTGCTCAAAGCCCTTCCCTCAGATGGCCTCTGGTCCGCCCAGTTTACTCTGTCACTGCCTAGAAAGGACCCACAGACACGACTGGCAGCTGCAGGGACGCCTGCTCTAGAAACCACTGCCAGGAGCACCGGGGAGGAGCGGCTCGGTTCTGGAAGGCCTCAGCCAGCAGCCCCTGCGGTCCTCGACTTTTTATCCGGGCCCAGGGCTTCAGAAGATAAAACGTGATTTCTGTTGACGCCGTTTCTATTAACCTAAAGGTCGACAGTCTGCAAGTTCCGGGTGCCAGAACTCTGCATTCCGGACAGGTCTCCGTCCCCCTCCCCGCGGAGACCTGGTGGCACAGCAGGGCTTGCCCGGGAGCACTTCTGAGCCAGGCCCCCATGCCACCCGGTCAGGGGCCCTTGGCGAGCGCGCGGCAGGAAGCTGGCTGGGGCTGCTGCAGTCTGAGTGCGCGTGATTTTAAAGTAACAAGGTGAGCTTTTTTATGGAGGCTACTTGTGGCCCGGGGTGCAGCACCAAAAGCACCCAATGAAGGCGGGCTCGGTCCCCACGCAGCTCACTCTCCTGTCCTACACTCCAGCAAAAACTGGCTACGAAGCTCCGCACAAATAGAAAAAACTTATGAAGAGGTAATATACATGGTCTGGTTCACTGATGATCAAAAACCCTTAAACTCCTTTTTTCACCCACCAAATGAGCACAAGTTCAAACAGGAACAAGGAAGACCCAGCAGGAGTATGTGGGGCAAGGACCACTGCGCTGCTCTGGTGGGACAGCAATGTGGTCGGTCTCTGAGGAAGTCAATTGGAAGAATCTATTTAAACTGAAATCGTACAAAATCCTTTTCTTCCCAGCAATGACATCTACGTAGGAATTGCAAGTGGGAACAGTTTTTTAACTATTTAATTGCTATGGTTTCTTCGGGAGAGCAGCTTCTCCTTATTTACAGCCAAGCCCCCAGGGGCGTCTGGGTGGCTCGGTTGGTTAAGTGTCCGACTTTGGTTCAGGTCATGATCTCACTGTTGGTGAGTTTGAGCCCCGTGTCAGGTTCTGTGCTAACAGCTCAGAGCCTGGAGCCAAAGACAGGGATTCTGTGTCTCCCTCTCTCTCTGACCCTCCCCTGCTCATACTGTCTCTCTCTCTCTCTCTCTCAAAAATAAACAAAACATTAAAAAATAAAAAATAAAAAAAAGCCAAGCCCTCACATCTCAGCTGCTCAGCTCAGGGACAGCACGTGCAGCTGGCGCCACAGCTGTGTCACGCTACAGCCGTTCCCCTGGTGTAGCCACACCACTTCCTGGTGGCTTTGCTCCACTTACCCAAAGGAAGCAAGCATTTAAGTCCTTCTTTCTCTAGAGCCTGAGGCTGCTCCAAGAAGCAAAATGCTACTCTTAAGCCACCAGGACTTGTTTTGGAGCAATGACCTATCTTTAACTTGTACCTTTTGTTGGGGGACTTACGTGTTGCCTTAGTAGGCAAGACAGAGAACATGGATGGATCTGTTTGCAGATCCCCTGGGTGCTCCCCTGTGAAAGGGCCCATGGGTACTGGGGGCCTCCCAAGTTCCCAGCTTCCTAGGAGGAATCCAGTCTGTCCCTCTGCACACACCCCATCAGTGCCCTGCTCTGGAGAGAATGGCTAGCTGTCCCAAGGCAAAGACTTCCAAGCCTTTTAAACCGTAAACCTTTTTGATGTGAACCACAAAACACATTTTGTCAAGGTGTACTTCACCGGAACCTCAAAGGGTTCAGTACTTAGAAACCATGTGGCTCACATGGGTCCATAACCTCGAACACACATATTCTAGTTTATCTACCCTATAGAAGGATTTGCCCACATACACAAACAGGTACACACAAGGAAACACCCAAAGAACGTTGTTTCCAAAGGCATACAAACAGAAAAACCTGAATATCCACCTAGACAGACACCGATTAAATAGAATTTGGTACAACCATAAATGCTACTAGTGTTACACAGGTATCGGAAATAAAGTCACTCTCAATCGGCACATAAAATGAAAAAAGTCGCAAAGTCATGTATGTACTATACTAGCATTTAAAACAAAACAGAGTACATATTTCCATAGGTACAAAAAAGCAAAATATAGGTGGGAGTTGCACAATATTGTGAACGTACTAAAAAATGCCATTTAATGGCATACTTTAAAATGGTTATTTTTTACATTATGTGCATTTTCCGTCATTTTTAAAAACAAAAGAATTCACCATGATCTACTACTATCAGCACTGGTTCCCTGGAGAAAGGAGAACAGAGGGAGTGGGGGAGGAAAGAACAGGGAAAGAGAAAGGAACTTTTTTTACCTGTATTGTTCCACGGTTTTACAACAAGAATGTAAGTAAAAACAAAAATAAAGACACAAACGTACACGGGGTTAATTCATGCTACATAGTCTGCACTGGGCAGTCGCGGGAGAAGCCTGCTGGACCCACCGTGTAATGGGGTCAGCTCTGGGTGGGGTGGTCCAGGAGAGTGGGTAAGCTCTGGGTGGGGGGGGGTCCGGGAGACTGTACTGTCCTCCTTGTGCATCTCTCTCATTTCCAAGTGTTCTTCGGTAGACACTTTGCCCAAATAATTAGAAGGAGATGGTTTTGAGAGTAAGAAATCAGTGTTGGTCATACAATGATCCTTCTAACTTAAAAGAGCAAGGGAGATGATAAACACAGAAGCCCAAAGCAAACATAAAAACAGAACATGTTTTCTCCGCAAAAACATTCAAGGCCAATTCAAGCAAGACAGTGTGAGGAACTTCCAGAGGCTACTACCTCTGGGCTTGGGCTACTACCAAGCCCACACCCAGCACTCCTGCATCTGAGCTGAGCTGAGGCCACTGACCTGCAGTCAGGATGAGACAGATGGCTGTGGGTAATGAACACATGGGACCTTCACTATGGGGCAAGTGAGAAGCCACGGGAAAGCAGCAAGCATTCCTACCCATGTGCACTGGTCTGTAAGCACCACTGCTGCTCCAGGCGATGGCCGTGCAATGCACTTTCACTGAGGAATGAGGTTATGCTCTGCTTGGTGACACTAGGCTTTGAAATGCAGCCTCAGTGTAGCCACACACATGGCATCTTTGACGGTGACACAGAGTTCAGTCAGGTGCCGGGCCCCCCTCGGAGGGTTAGCTCGCAGGAGGTGGCGTGGCATCTCGGGGACAGACCCCTGGAGGCAAGATGCCCAGTCCCAGTCCCAGCCCTGTCCCTTGCCAGCGAGCATCCTTAGCTAACACTTGATGTGCAGGTCTAGAAGATGTGCACAGCCACGGTACCACAGGGCCAATGAGGCCGTGGACAGAGAGAGCCCTGAGATGCCGGACTCCACAACCCGGAAGGCCCAGAACGAAATCCCCATGTCATTCCGCCCCTCACCCGCCCCTTTGGCCTATTCTGCTCACTTAAGAGCTGAGAGTGTCAAGGACCTACAGCAGACAGAACCAGAAGCTCGAGCCACAAGGCTAAGATGCTAAAAGAGGAATAACTCTCCGGCCCGGGACCATCCTTCATCACTTTAAAACAGTCATCTGAAAAGGTCCGTGTGCCCTTATATGTGGGGCACAGCCAGGAATGCAGCGAGACACAGATGACAGGGCACCCTTGTGGCATGTTCGTCCTGCCCTGTCTGCCAGAGGGGGCCCTCAAGTCTGCACATGGGCACTTGCATTAAAGAGACGAGTGGCTGAAGATGCGGGAGCAAGGCCAGGGCTCCCTGGCCTCTCCATGCTGCGGGTGAGCCACAATCACGGGGCAGGAGGCATGGATGGGCCTGGGTCCCTGAGCCATGTGTTGGACCCTGCACGGGGATCTGCAGCCACACTCCCCCTGAGGACCTGGAAGAGACCAGAGCCAGGAGCCAGGCCCAGAGGAAGCCTCCAGGACGGCCTCCTCCAGGGCGGCCTTTGAGGACCTCCCTACTGGAGCAAGAGCAGCTGGGACTCTGAATGAAGCCCATCTCTACAAGGCAATCGGCCTCAGTCTCCTGTGAGGACCTTCCACAACAACCATCCTGCCGCCTGCCCCCACCCCCACGTTCCCACCGAACCTCCCCAGGCCGGAAGTGACAGCACAGAGCCCAGAACGCACTCTCCTCGTCTTGCACACATAAACCCCTCTCACGGTCAGTTCCTGCCATACACGTGAATACCCGTGGTCTTGTGGGACAATAAAGTGGCTGCACGGCGCCATTACGGTCTCAGGGAAGAAGGAATATTCCTTTGCTCACCCCAAGTTCAAATTCACAGAACTTCACGCACTCCTGCGTACAAAACTACCAGCCACAGAAAATGCAAATTCAAAGATGAGGAAGAACAAAGCTTATTTTGGGCGCGTTTCTTAAACTTTTATCAGATAATTTTGAATTCAAGTCAACGACAGAAAGTAGTGTAGGTGCTAAAAGGCCTATAAAACTATGTTTTTTTAAAAAAATTATTTGGACATGAAATCTTTTTCGAACCTTTAAAAGAGACAGACTCACGTTTCTGACTGCCGTCCCTCGAGTACACCCGCGACGACAGGCTGTGGGGAGTGGCGCGCGCCGTGAGCGTGTCCCTGCGCTCCGAGAGCAGGGCACAGTCTCGGCAGGTGTAGCCGTTGCTCCGGAAAGCGCCTGCTGCCAGATCCCCGTTTCCCTGAGTGGCAGCTTTGTTTCCACCTGAGTTTTCAGAAAGTAGAGGGAACCCATTTATCACCACCTGTAGATACCTACAAAAACTTCCACCTTGAAAAGTGTATTAAAAGAAAGGACTAAGATAATTACCTTTGAGATCTCCGTCATCGTCAAGACCTGAAACACACACACACGCGTTTACTCATAAGCTCGAATTAGCGGAACGAAACCCACACACACGGAAAGTAAAGGTTACAATGGTTAATAAATCGACATTTTGGCAATAGTCAAGATTCACTCCCTGAAATGCCTACAGGTAACAGAAACTCCTCCAGACACAGGCAGCGCATTTTCTGGTTCGAGGTGAAAGCACATCTTTGCGGACAATGCACACCTGCACACGCACACCTGTGGACCAGGGGTAGATGCAGAGAAGGACCTAGGGGAGAAAGCCTTGCCCCCTAAAGCAGGGGCAGGCAGGAGCCTCTGCAGCAACGTTCACCGCCCCATCGCGTGCGAGCTACCCTTGCTGGCTGAGTGGACCAGGCTGGGCACCTAGCCCCGGGCTTCCCCCAGCCCACACATGAGATTTGGGGAGCTCATTTGGACCCCCTCATCCCCTCATGGGGGCTGCCCCGAACACAAGGCGGCACAGGCAGGCAGCCGTGTCCCCTGAAAGCTGCTGTTCCCTGTGGCCATCACAACGTCGCTGCCTTAGGTCAAGACGGAGCCCACACTGCTTTCTTGTGCTGGTACAGCCACACAGGCCGCTTCCCAATGACTCAAAAATACTGCGTCTGCCCTGCTGCTTAGAGCTGTCTGAACCCGAAGCCACACCGGTGGACTCTGCAGCCCCTGCGCTTCAGCACCCTCCACAAACAGTATGCTCAGCGGGAGGGCTCAGGCTGCTGCCGGAGAGCTTCCGTGTCCATGTCGCCTGGACGGCTCTGCATGCGCACGGCCAGAGGCCGCTGCCCGCATCCTGTGTCTGAGGCTACAGGAATGCCTTGAACCTTCCCGGACCTTCTCCCACCCCGTGCAGGGCAAAGGGACTACCTGGCCAGGACTTTCCTCCTTCCAAGACAACCTGAGAAATACCCGAACGGCAGCTAACTCACCCCAGAAGTGGTCCACTTTGGTTTGCTCACGGATCAGAGACTCATCCAGCACGGGAGGCCGCACACAGGCCACGCCTGATGTCAAGGCGGCGCCCCAGCCCTCGGCCGAGGACAGGACCTGCCTCGAGGCATGGTTGACACTAACAGCTGGCTTGCTTGCACTTCTGCGCTGCTTTGCTGTTCTAAGAAGGAACAGAAGGAACAAGTTTACGGACTTCTAGGAAATACAAAATGATTATATTTGACCAACACAAAATCTTTGAGAATATGGTTATTTTTAAGGCAACACTTTCTTATGTCTTCTCTGCTGGAATAAAACACTTATCAACTTGAACAGGAATCCTCAAGCTGGCGTCCCACAGCTGCTCCTAAAATTGTACACACAAGACAGTTTTCAGATTATTCTGGGCCCCGTGACCCCAAAGTGATTAAAACTGTAAAAATCTAATAAAATGACTCAAAAATAAAAATTCTGATATATAAAGTTAACCCTTCTGCTTTTTAGAACAAGCGTGTGAACAGACATGCACAGCGGGCATTCTCCATGGTCCTGGGGAGATGGCCCTGCAGTAAGGACAGCAGGCAAGGCTGTCACCTCATTTCTGTCCTCCTGCTCGGTGCAGAGCTGGGGCAGGGAGAAGACCCTCCCTCCTTACAGGAACAGGTAGCAGGGGACAGGGACCCAAGTCCGCACGTGAGCACACTGCATCAGGAAACCGAGCACGGTGTCGCCCTGTCCTGCATGTGGAGCTGACAGGGGCGCTCAGGTGCACGCACGAGCCTACTGGACTGCGAGCCCACCTTCTGGCTACCCCTCAGCGACGTGCAGCACTTGGGAACTCAGCAGGGCGCCCAGCTTTAGGTCGGCGTCCCACCAAAGGTGACCGTTTCTAGCAGAGACTCGCCATTCTCACGTGGGAAACAGCACACGGTCTCTAAGCGGCACAAAGACCATGTGCGCTGCTCCTTCCGGGGCAGGCGCGTGGTGCTGGGCATGTGGAGAGCTTAGAAATCGAGTGAGCACAGTAACTGGCCACCGTCACGAGGGACCTGTTAGTTCACGCAGACTCTGACACACGGACACGGGGATAGCAACGCAGGGTTCATCCACGGCGTACGCAGCACCGCTCGGCCATCTGGGAAGGCACCCCTCAGCCGCATTCGGCTCCCGCTACAAGGCCAGCCGTGTGGACGGGCACTGCACAGGTTCCCGGGTTGCCGCACCCCTGCAGGAGTCTGAGCTCAAACACAGAATTAGAAACTTTGGCCAGTTTCTAATGGCACAGTCCATGCCAGACAGGCCATGTGGTCTAGAATTAGGGTCAGTCCTCAGCACAGCACAGGGACGACTGCATGCATGTGCAGTGTCTGCTATGTCCTTATATAACCTTAGGTGCATGAGTGTGGTTTCACATACCGAAAACCTGTGTACTTGTTTCAATGGTGTTAGCGCGTGCGCAGGAATAAGGAAGGCAGTGCTTACCTGGCAGCTCTGTCCCTCAGGGAGGCGGTGCCACTGGCACAGGAGTGTGCATCCCCAGCCTGGCCGTCCTCAGTGGCACACGCTGTGGTGACCAGGCGCAAACTGCGGCGGGACATTCTTGGAGAATCGAACACGGGGTCCAATCTGTGCTCAGTCTCAAAAGCCAGAGCATCAGAAGAATAACTCGAACTAGAAGGAAGAAAAGCTTGTCAGAAATAAATAATGCTGACAGTCGTTTCTGAAACAAACTGGACGATGAGCGGGACATATAACAATCTAGTGCATGTTCTGAAAACCAGCCATTACTGTGTGATGACTTTTCTACACAACACAAGTCATGCCAGACACTCTGGCCACACCATCTGTGAGATAAAGTCCCTAGGAGCCTGAGTACTTCCAGTCTAGAGCTGGTCCTAAGCATGGCTCCAGGATGTGCTCACAAGAACCTCCACTATGCGGGCCTGCATCAGCATCATTAAAAATCAGAATATATTTGCCACGGACTCCTCGCCTGACAGAGCAGTTCAGAGAGAGCGACCACGTGGCATCTAACCCACTGTGAGGAGCAAAGGAGACAGGAGGACACTCAAGTGTAATGCCATGTTGCATCTAAGTCACCATAAAGCCAGACACAAGCTTGTGATAAAGTTACTTCAATACCCTTCCATGGAATCATCTTTTTTTTAATATATTTTTATTTATTTCTAGGAGAGAGAGAGAGACAGAGTGAGCAGGGGAGGGTCAGAGAGAGAGGGAGACACAGACTCCGAAAGAGGCTCCAGGCTCTGAGGTGGCAGTCAGCACAGAGCCCGACGTGGGGCTCAAACCCACGAACCGCAAGATCATGACCTAAGTGAAAGTCGGTTGCTTAACCGACTAAGCCACCCAGGCGCCCCCCATGGAATCATCTTAAACTAGAAGATGCATTCTTTTGTGTTTGGTTTCCCAAACCAAGAAATACTGACCCACAAGGAGGCATCCAGGGGCCATGGGAAAACCACTCGCGCTCAGGAGAGCAGACTGGGCCAAGGGATGGAAACCACCAGGAACCTGGAGTCTCTCGAGGAAATGAGGCAGAAGGGCACTATAGCCTTGTTTCTTTAGAACAATACTTTCAGGATCACATCTATGACAAACGTATTAGATCTGCCACTAAGCAGACCGAGGGCAGGTAAACCCGAGGCTGCGGTCGCCAGGTGCACCAAGGGGTCACACAGCCTCCTCACTTCACCAGAGGCAGCATGGGAGCTGAGGGGCCCCACACTCAACCCACGTGAGTATGCAGCAAGGATGCTGAGCATAATTTTGGTATAATGTACAAATGGCTATTTTCTTCAAAAAATATTTTATACAATTACAATCTTAGTTGAAGAAAATCATGTGATTTCACATCAGAATTTATCATGTACACATGGATCAATTCCCACCGCCCCCCCCCCCCCCCCGCAAACCACCAAACTCTTCCTTTTCATCTAAGGACAGACATTTATGAGCAACGTGAATATCCAAACACAGCAGAAATATCCCAGTCTGCCCACCTCTGTCCAAGCCCCAAACCAGGTGTGACTCTCAGAGCAGTCAATCGAGGCCACTACGGAAATACATGGAAGCAGGCAAGCTGACAATGTGCCCAGAACACCACCTCCCAGCCCAGACCACAGGCCCCCGAGGCTCCAGCATGAGGGCACGACAACACTGCGCAGTGTGGAAGGGGTCCCAGATTTCCAACACAGAACGTGGAACCCCTCTGCCAGCAGAAGGGTGCCCCAATCCCTGTCAGCATCATTAGAAAGACCCCGCGCAGAACGAAGTATGAGAATGTTACAACAGCAGACAGTGGGAACTGTCCAACAGCAGGGGAATGGTTCAATAAAGTGGGACACGTCCGAATTCTAGAACACTGGGAGGCTGTTAAAAATCAAGAAAGACTTGTGTACACTGTTAAAGGAAAATATCCTATCATCCTATTTATGTTAAAGCAAACTATAAAACAGAACCACATGGGGTCAGTAGAGCATGTGACTCTTGCTCTTGGGGTCGTTGAGTTCAAGCCCCATGTGGAGCCTAAAGCTTACTTAAAAAACAAAAACAAAACCCCTAAGAACCCCAGAAGCACGTATTCTCATATATACAGAGGTAGGTAAAGGCATACAGACCTGGAAGGTTCTCTTCAAACTATGGGCCCTTTCAGTCTGGACCCACCTGTGTGGTCACACCCAGGGACACTGGTCTGGTGCATTTGAGAGTCACGCCTCCACCAGTGCTGCAGTCTAGGGACCCACCCCAGGTAGCTCTGCAAGTGTGCTGTTAAGGCACTTTACTCTAATACAAGGATATAAAAGGAGACACTAGAAAGACCCTGAAGAAAATTACAGACTGAATCCTTCAGAGCAGCATTTAGTTTGGTTCCTTCCTCAATCAAATGTTCTTTTAAAAATGTCTGCTATTTAGATGGACTTTTAATTAAAAGGCCAGGAAAAAAACCTACCACCGTTGAAAGCTAGAAAATACTGACGTGAGGCAGCCCCAAGCCATGGGCAGGTGGTCCAGCCTCCAGCCAGGGCTGCGTGGAGCCATGCGGTCATAAATGAGCAGTTCAGCCATCAGCCCGGGTTGAGTGGGCAAAGCAAGGCCCACATGGGGACAATTCTAGGAATCTGACCAAACCTCCATGGGTCTGCTGACCTGGGTGTGTGACTCCAGTGGCTGCCCCTGTGACCCCTGATCCTTTGTCACCCACCAGCTGGGATCTTCCACAGCAGTGGTCCCTCAGCCTCACCAGGGCTCCAATGGGGATTATGGTCATAGCACCCCCACCCCGTGATTCCCCTGCCCTGTTGCCGCCTCAATCCTGGCAGCGGTGAAAATCCCCAGGATGAACCTGGATGGTGCCGACCGCTGCACGCCCCTGAGTTCATGGGCCTCTGTGCCAGTGGCGCTCGCGTGTCCCCCGCCCCGGCAGGCCTCCTCTTCTCCCTCCCACCTCACCCCCGCCTCTGGCTCCCCACCAAACCAGCTGCACCAGAGAACTGCTGTCCCCTCTTGGGGGGGGGGGGCTATGAGGGACCCACATTCACATCGCCCTTTCCCCTCCTTCCGATCACAGCAGACGTGCCACCATCCGTGCGCTCTGGACTGGATCTCTCCCACTCTCCAGAAGACCTTCTTGGTCTGGTACCTCTTCCCTCTCCCAAGTCTTCAAACACCCCATGGCTCCCAACCATCGATCAGCACCTGGACACACTTCCTATCCCCGCGGTGGAGAAAAAACTGCCCTCAACAGAGCCAGGCCTTTCTCCTCCCAACCAGCCACACGCATTGTAAAAGCTGTCTACACTCACTCCTCGATCTGTTTCATTCCGACTCCTGCCCCCGTGGTTGCTGCCTCTGCCCACGGACACCCACGGAGCTGAATTCACAGCCGATATCCCAGCCTGGTCACTGTAGCACAGGGCCACTTTTTCAGAATACTCTGCTCTCTTGGTTCTGAGGCAGACACTGTGGTGCACTTATGTGGGAGGCTGACATGACCAAACAGCAACTTTTCCAGGTGGCCTGCCTCGGAGAACAGGCTGCCCGGACCTGGCGTCTCCTCCTCTTATGTGGGAGGGGTGGGTGGCATCTCTGATGGGCTTCGGGAAAAGTCAGCCTCCTGCCCAAGCAGTGTCCCTAGGGCTGCAGCCCCATCGTGTACAGCCTGGGGGGTTCCTCAGTGGTGGTGTGGCCCGGCCGCCAGCACTGTGCAGCCTCCACGCACCCTCGATAGGAAGGAAGTACACAGTCATGCCAACAAACAATCAAACCCTGGGACTGATCATACCTCTGCATCTAATCACCAGCTTACAGGAAGCAGATGGGCACTTCCGAGGCAAATAGTCAAGTAGAATGGGAGATTCCTGATTAAGCTGATTTTAAACAAAAACGAGAATCTGGTAATTTGGCCACTATTGGTATATTACAGAGATATCAGGGATTATTTTAAATTACCATGGGCTTTTTGGTGTGATACTTGTATTCTGGTCAGTTGTTTTCAAAATATCATTTTTTAGGGGCGCCTGGGTGGTTTAACTGGTTAAACGTCTGACTTTGGCTCAGGTTGTGATCTCAGTCTGTGGGTTTGAGCCCCATGTCCGGCTCTGTGCTGACAGCTCAGGGCCTGGAGCTGCTTCAGATTCTGTGTCTTCCTCTCTCTGCGCCCCTCCCCCACTAGTGCTCGCTTGCACTCTCAAAAAATAAACAATAAATAAATAAATAAATAAATAAATAAATAAATAAAATATCATCTTTTAGAGATTTGCTTCAAAACAATCCACCGGAGAGGGAGGGAGGGAGCCCAGTTCCAAACAGTGGAAGCTGAAGGGAGGCACAGGGGCTTATCACCACCCTGACTTTCACCTACCACTCTCCACAGTAGAAAAACATTTCAGTCAAATAAATGAACGTCCAAGATGCTGGTGGTCCCTCCAAGTGTGTAGTGAGGTGTTAAGGACGAAGATCAGGGCGGGGCGGACAGCCAGGGTGCAGTCACCAGGGCTGAGGGAAGGACTTGTCTAGGAGGTAGTGGGGCACATGCGTCAAAGTGGGGCTGGGGGATGGGGGAGGGACAGGCAGTGAGATCAGGTGGCTTCCAGTAGAGCCGGGTGATTCACGCAGGTTTCAAAGCCAGGGAAATACACTGCACAAGCAGAAGGACAAGACACAAGCAGGCGGGGGCAGGCCCCTTCCCACTGTGCCAGGGGCTGCCTGTGAGTGTCAGCATGGGCTCCGCCACACCCGCCAGACACTTGCCCCATCCGGTCCCTTGGAGCCCGGTCCTGCACGCCACACAGCCACCCAGACCAGAACCTGCTGCCGCAGACCACTCGGCTCTCCCCGCCTCTCCTCCTTCGTCTCTGCCACAGCTGCCCAGGTTGGGCCGGGGCCCTCATGCAGGCCACCACGGTGTCGCACCTCTGCACCTGTCCTGGTGTCCGGGCCACCGCACCCCTCTACCCAGCCGGCAGGCTGCACCCACTCCTAGCGCACGCCTGGTCATGCCGCTCCCGGCCCAACGCCCTGCCCAGGTTCCCACTGCCCTCAAACGAAGTCCAAGCTCCCAGCACCCTGCACCAAGCACCTCCACCGCCTCTCCTGCTCCGGTCTTCCCGCCCGACCGCATCTACACACACATCTAACTGGAGGAGGGCCGCATGCACTGAAATTAGCGGTGCTGCTTCCCTGGTGCAGAGACTCACACGTGTGCGTTTTTAAAAACTGTATTTAAAACAGGTTATAAAAGCTAAAAATAATTAACCGAGCGTAATTATTTTTATACTCTGCAATACAGAACAAGGAACAGTTTTACTTGAGCTGGGCCACTCCCTTTGTTCTAACATATTTCAGAACTTTTGACAAAAACAGTCAATAATCTAGAACTGTGGATAGAAACTCAATCATTCAATGTAAGGTTTGACTAACACTGTTAGAAAATATTTTTGTTAGGGGCGCCTGAGTTGCGCAGTTGGCTGAGGTATGACTCGATTTCATGGGATCGAGCCGCATGCTGGGCTCCATGCTAAGCATGAAACCTGCTTAAGATGCTCTCTCCCCCCGCCTCTGCCAGGCTCATGCACTCGCTCTCAAATTAAAAAAAGAAAAAGTGTCTTTGTTAAAATACCTTCCAATTCTCTTAAGGGTTCAATTTATTTTTACTCTTTAGAAACAAGTCCTTGAAAAAAATTACATGAGCATTTTCCTTGTGTGCCCTAACGGTCTTGCCAGAACACAATAGTTTTTTTTTCTTTTTTAAAATTTTTTAACGTTTTATTTATGTCTGAGAGAGAGAGAGAGAGAGAGAGACAGCGTGAGCAGGGGAGGGTCAGAGAGAGAGGGAGACACAGAATCAGTAGCAGGCTCCAGGCTCTGAGCTAGCTGTCAGAGCCCGACACGGGGCTCGAACCCACAAACCGTGAGATCATGACCTGAGCCAAAGTCGGATGCTTAACAGGCTGAGCCACCCGGACACCCCCCCACCCTTTTAAAAAAAATTTTTAGGTGTTTATTTTTGAGAGAGACAGAGCGTGAGCAGGGGAGGGGCAGAAAGAGAGGGAGACACAGAGTCCAAAGCAGGCTCCAGGCTCCAAGCTGTCAGCACAGAGCTGGACATGGGGCTTGAACCCATGAGCCACAAGATCATGACCTGGACTGAAGGTGGACACTTAACTGACCGAGGCACCTAGGCATCCCCACAACAGTTTTCTAACTGCCAAACCCTAACCCACGTGGTACTGTATTTTCCTTTGGCACTAACCCATATTTTATAATTCATCTCAATAAACCCTCCTTCCTGGTGAACTATACATGCAAAGGGCTACTCAGCAGCTCTTAGACTTAGCTGCGAACTTCAGTATCATGTGAGAATAAAAACAGAAAACAAACCTAGCATCTGACAAAAGCCATGCTTTTCAAACCTTGGGTTTCGTCAAAATTCTGTTTAGGATACCTCCTCTCAAAGGCAAATCATTTTCCAGGTTATTTCTGCTCACTTTAAAATACCCAGCCATCAATATAAATCACAAAACCCTCCCTGTAACCACAAAGATTTATTCTAGACACCGCAGCCACTTGGGTGTGGTCTGAAACAGCAGTACATTTGCAATGACTCATCCCTGAGTCATCAGAAATGTTCGGTTTTCAAAACCAGCTCACAATTTCCATGTCGGTTTAGCAAAGCCATAGTATGATATAAACTCTGCAGAAATGTTCACTTTCAAAAGACAGCATGTGGTTGCAAGTAGCAAGAAGTGCCCATAAATCCAAGGCATTCGAGAGCAGGAGGCAACCAGGAAGACGACGGAACGTAGGCACGCTCACCTGAGTGCGTATGTGTAGCCAGTGTTCTCGGGCACACACTGAGGAGGGGTGTACGTGTGGAGCCGAGAAAAGTCCATGGTCACGGTCTCATACTGCAGAAGGCAGGGGAGAAAGCAATGCAGGGTGTTAAGAGGGTAGAAACACACAGAGAAGTGCTGTCTGTCACAGCCAACCTAGGGCACATACTCAGTGACTAAAACGTCACCACCAAGATTTTAGTAAAACAAAGCTAGGCGCTTTTTGTTTTTTATTTTTTAAACAAAGGAGACAAAATCTTTCCATAGCTACAAACCCTTATGTGAGGTGTGGTTCCCTACAAAGACATATCCTAGAAGCAAAAGGGAAAACCCTTTTTTACTTATGAAGATTGGGGCACTTCCAAAAGAAAACAGAAAGTGACTCAGACCATTTTCAAAGTGTATTTTTAAGTTCCTAAAGATGTCAAAATGTTCTTATGTAATAAGTTTTCGTTGGTACTAAAATAGAATAGATACTTGGGGCACCTGGCTGGCTCAGTTGGAAGAGCATGCGACTCTTGTTCTCAGAGTTGTGAGTTTGAGATCCACAGTGGGCATAGAGATTACTTTAAAAAGGCGGGGGGAGGGGGGGACTACCTAAAAACAGAAAAAACAGAAGGGATCCTTAGTCCCCAGGCAAGCATTTGCTGTAGATGCTGACTGATGCTTTCCCAAGCACCTCAGAACCAGAAAACTGCAGGCTGATCGACACACGAGCTCTAGGCACCGCTTATACCTTTTAGTTTTCCCCAAAAGAACATAGGTAGTTTTTTCTTAATTAAAAAGTTTTAGGGTGCCTGACTGGCTCAGTCAGTAGAGCAGGAGACTCGATCTCAGGGCCATAAGTTTGAGCTCTACAGTGGGTGAAGAGATTACTTAAAAATAAAACCTTAATGGAAACCAACTTGACAATAAACTATTTGTAAAACAAACAAACAAACAAAGACAACAAATAAATAAATAAATAAAACTAAAAAAAAATAAAACCTTAAGGGACAGTGGGTTGGCCATCTGACTTGGGCTCCAGTCATGATCTCGAGGCTCATGAGTTCAAGCCCCAACATCAGGCTCTCTGCTGTCAGCACAGAGACTGCTTCAGATCTATTCCCCTCTCTCTGCCCCTCCCCTGCTTGTGCTCTCTCAAAAATAAATAAAACATTTCAAGAAAATAGTAAAAAATGATAAAAAATAAAATCTTAAAAACAAGTTTTGAGCATACTGTTTTTCAGATTGTCATCTAAATTTCCCTGGAATGACTCAAACTTTCCTCTGGCTAAAAATATTCTCTCTCTCACACACACACACCACACACCCACACACACTCCAAATTTAAAAAAAAAAAAAACACCTCATAGTAGTAGTGTGAATCATAATCCATTGTTGAAAAATCTAAGGAAGATAAGACCAAAAATAAAGACCAGACTGGACAAAAAATACTTATGTGTAAATGACTGTTCCCTATAAACCAAACCAAAAGTACTTCAATTCACACCATTTTCTAAGAATCCAAATATTCTTTAAAGAATTAAGAACCATAGAAATAAGAAACATTGTTTATGTTATAAAAATTGTACTGGGCCTACTAATGCCAACAAGCACCACAAAACTGCATTTAAGGAACATTTCAGCACCCTCAGTGCGTCTCAGGGACCCCGTGGCCAGGAAGCAAACACACGGCCTTACTTGGCCCACTATCAACACATACTTAGCCCTCCGGCTACACATGAAATGAACTCTGGCCACTTACCAGTGTGCCAGTCCAGTACCCCGTCCACCTGCCTGACCAACTCGGGGGTCCAGGCTCAGGGGTGGTGGGAGCGCGCAACCAGGTGGCCTTGTCACCAGGGCCCCCCAGCGTGGCTCACCTGCCGGTGCAGAACCCAAGCCACGCCCTGCAGCGTAACAATGGCTTCCGACTACCCAGACAGCGCCAGGAACCTACTAAGCAACCAAGAAATGCTTATGTAAATACCCCATAATTGTTCTCATTCTCCAGGCTGGAAATGGACTCATCTTCATCCCCAAAGTCACCTTTCACCTTAACATTCTTCACCTGCTTTGCTGACATTATTAAACTTCAGTATAAAGTTGTCATAATTGTTAATTTGTACCAACTGTGCCACAATGGGCATTTGATACACCCTTAGTGAACTGTTTCCTGGGTTGGTTTACGTCTCCCTGAAGTTTACAGAGCTGAGTGTTACCAACACAAACGGCGGACGCCCCAAAGCAAGTACTTGAGCATCCGCCTCAAAGATCAGGACACAGCTGAAAGCACCCAGCTGAGAACAGGGGTGGAGTCCTGCAGATGTGGGCTCAGGTCCCAACTCAGCCCGCTGGCTGATCCGCCGCGGCTGCTGACCCTCGGGGAGCCTCCGAGTGTGGAGCGGGGCTGGGGAGGGCCTAAGGAGCTGTGGCCTGTCACTCAGCACAGGGGCGGCAGTTCTGGAGCCTGGTGAGGGCATATGCAACACCTCACAGCCTTACTTGACAAGTTACATTTCTATGTTCTCACATCTTTATCCCACTACAAGAAATATATTAATTTCCAGTGCATGACAAATGGTGTTTCCAGAAACTAACGGGTGGAGGACCAGCTACGACCACATTTTTCAACCTGGTCCTTCCACGCAGCGAGCCAGACCACAGAGCCTAGCCATATAGCCCACACGTAGCAACTTTAATGGAGGCCTCATGCCACAGCTTCCAGATATATTTCTTGTCACTGAAATAAATTTGATCCCAGAACCATACACAGCTACTGGCCATCACAGGAATCCTATGAATGACAGGATTCTAGCAAAGTGTGTAAAAAGCCCAACAGGTGAGAGCAGGGAAAGGGAAGCTGGGTGACAACAGAACTAGGAGACTCAGGGCAAAATGTCTGAGGAGAGGAGATATGAATGTAATAAAAAGCCCAAAGACGGCACCCTCGAGAGGGTACCAGTGTGGACAGACACCAGGCTCTGGAGCACCCGGCAGTTGGCTCTGGAGGAAAGACAGGAGGGGCCAGTGGAGGGAACGCCACGACGCTCACGGCTTACCATCCACAACAGCACAAGGTGAGTGAGTGACCACACACTCTGACCTTTCCCACCCACTCTGATTTCACTCCTATAAGGACATGAATTTCACGTCATGCCTTCCAGGGAGCTCCATCTAAGTACAAAACTCTGCACAGAATCTGGCCCAGCGTAAGCGGACCTGCGGCCCGGGGAGAGACTCGTGGCCCGGGGGATGTTTTGGCCACTGCTTACTCCACAGCCCGGAAAACCACTTCTCCCCTGGAGAACCACACATGGATCGAACTCCTGCAGAGCAGGATGTGCAAGGGGGCAGCACGACTCAGTCTCCCAAGGGAGGGGCAATTCCTGCTCTCTCCCAAGCACACCATAGAACAGAATTCCTGGACATGATGGTTACCTGTTACTAGAGTTTATCTGGGCCCTCCTCTCCACTGACTCCGCTCTTTCCTTCTTTCCCTCCCTCTCTCCCCCTAAACAGATCACACAATGGCTTCAGGACACTGAAAATAATCTTCAGTTCCATTCCTAAAACGTGAGCATTAAAATTACAGGATGAAAATGAAATAAAGTGGAAAGGATTTAAAAAAAAGTTTTTTTTGGGGGGGGGGCGCCTGGGTGGCTCAGTTGGTAAAGCGTCCAACTTCAGCTCAGGTCATGATCTCACGGTTCGTGGGTTCGAGCCCTACGTCGGGCTCTGTGCTGACAGCTCAGAGCCTGGAGCCTGCTTCAGATTCTATGTCTCCCTCTCTCTGACCCTCCCCTGCTCACGCTGTCTCTCTCTCTCAGAAATGAAACACTAAAAATAAATTTTTTTAAAAACAACTTTTTTTGAGAGAGAAAGAGCGAGCGAGTGAGCACAAGCAAGGTTGGGTCAGAGAGAGGGAGACATAGAATCTGAAACAGGTTCTAGGCTCTGAGCTGTCAGCACAGAGCCCGACGCAGGGCTCGAACCCACAAACCGTAAGATCATGACCTGAGCCAAAGCTGGATGCTTAACTGACTGAGTCACCCAGGCACCCCTGAAAGTGGAAAGGATTAAATGAAATAATGAATGGAAGGCAGTGCCTGACCATGACAAACACTCAGATACTAGCTTTAATATTCTGTAGAATAAAGTTTTTTAAACCTTTTAAAAACCCAACTTTTTCTTCAGAGTTAGCAACTCTTGAGATGGAGGATTCACTCAACCCCAGGTCTAAATAAAACACAAAGTCGACCAGGTGGTTCAGACGGCTCCAGCTCGGAGTGGACAGGCTGCAATGGCAGCTCCAACCCTCCATCAGAAGCGGATCAGAACACCTATCGGCAAACCAGCAATTCTGATACTAGATCCACTGATAGCTAAGCCTAAGCGCTAAGCATTTTCAGAATGCTGGTGCCAGCTTCCATTTCCATCACTAAGTAGAGCCCGCATGTAACCTTAGAGCCTTCCTAATTGTTATTGCAGCCCTGCCCCCACCAGGCTCAGCCTGAGACTCTAGGGAAATCACACAAGCATTAGGTGCAAAAGCTGATTGAAAACGTCTTCAATGGCATCAGAAAGCCCTGGAAAGAATCTGAGGTCGACATTTTGCAAACAGATGTGCTACAAAGAAGGACCCTGCCCAGGCGCCACTGCCCTTTTCTCCAGTCCCTTCCAGGCTGCTCCTTTCTCAAAGTGTCCTGTGCTGACTGCTAGGGCCGGGGTCAGGGGCCATACTGGGCCCCAAGCTGCAGGCGCAGAGCCCCAGGGCAGGACTCCCCCAGGCTGGCCAGCTTTGCAGGTTTGCATGGGTGGGGGGTGGTTAAGAGCCCCACAGTGCACGAGGGGCCTCCTCTGCCCTGGTAAGAGACAGCGTCTTCAAAGGGGACAGCTGCCTAAGCTCAGGAGACAGAGGGCCAAGAGCGGCCTGTGCAAGCGGAGAAGCATGCCGCTAGGTCACCCCAAGGGTCTCCCTCACTCTTTGTTTTCTAGTGGTTAAGATAGTGTGCAAGCCAGCATACAGGCAAAGGACTGGTCCCCTGTTTAGGCTGAGCTTTCTTACAAACCTAAGGAATTAAGTATCTTTA